ATGTCAGCAGGAGCGTTGTGGAAGAAACAGGTGGTGTGTGTGTGCACGTGCATCTATAAGACTAGGCCCCAGTTCCTCCCAGTGGCCTCTAAAGCCCCAAGCCCCTCTGTTTTGTCAGACTCACCTTCCAAGCATGGTATGTGCCCGAGGGATCAGTCTGATAGAGTCTGGGGGTGCCATCAAAGTCAAAACCCACAATGAGGGCGGAGATGCCAAACGGCCTGCGCCCATTGCTCTGCGTGTAGCGCTGGCGGAAAAAGAAACACGTTAACACTGTCTTCGTAGCCCCAAAGGCCCCACAGAACCCACACTAAGTTACATCCATGTGACATTCTGAGCTCTGCTTTGAGTGGATGGATGAAAAGAAACTACTAAGACCACTCGCAGTTATTTTCAATTCAAATGATAAATGAAATCAGCCAATAGTTTTCAGCATTCCTCCTTTCTTTTCTGTATTTTCATTCTTGGAAAAAGACACTCCTATGACCAGAATTGCACCATGGAGCCCAAGTGAGGCTATGTGGAATTATTTTGATGACATATACACATTCTGGCTACAGTTGGGTTTAAAGACAACTAGCATCTCACTGGGGGACGGGGTTCAGCCCCCTTTCAACTGCTTGGTGGTGGCAAGATAAAAACTCTATCATTGCCCTCTAGAAACAGGAATTTGGACTGCGCCATGTCACCAAATGAGAACAGAACAATGCCGCCAAAATGGACAAGCTATAGTAAATTATACACGTCCAAGTAAGGATGGGACCGTGCACGGAACAGGTGCAGTTTTCTGAGTCCCCTAGTGACGCGGGCTAACATCCACGCGCAGTACCGTAGTAGGACACCTTCCGTGACAAAGCAGTGACTGCTCCTAGCAAGAGGTGGTCACGGGCAGGTGGGCACCCACCTGCTTCAGACTGGCAATGTAGCGGGTGATGTACTCCACGGTGACTGGGTCCTCCACAGTCAGCCGGTGGCTCTGGCACTCCACCCGGGCCCTGTTGATGACTATCCTCGCGTCGGCAGTGAGGCCTGCAACAATGGCAAAGAGGATCCCACCTGAGCCACACCTCATCCAGTCTAATCGCAGACAGCAGTACCCTTTGGCAAAGATTCCAAAACCAGTCCTGTGAAACCCAGCACTGAGGTCATTCTGAGTGACAACGGGGGAACGATCAGCTTCTGTGAGCTTCTCAGAGAAAGCTGGGTGTACAAGGAACAGCGTGTGTTGGACCGTATTTAAACACACTAATCCTTTGACAACGCAAGTGAATCTCCAGTTTAGGTGAAATGGGATCTTCCTAAACTGGACCTACCGAGGGAGGCAGCAGGTAAACCACGCGAGTGCTGAAGACACTGCACGCCCTGACAGCAGGCGCTGTCCAGCTCCCTCCACACCCTGGGCACAGTTAGCTGCTGAGAGCCGTACCCTTCTCTGGACTGACTACAGCCAGTGTCGGGCTGGCAGCCGCAGTGGAGGCAACAACACAGCCCCCTCAACCTGGGGGTGTCTATTCATTTAGCCCCTGTGCTAATGATAGCACATGGGGAGCCACCTGGGGAGGAGAGACCCTCCCCACCAAACCATTGCCAAACCTTTTCTTAAAGGCCCCAATCTCTTCTTTTAAATGATTTCAGCTCACCCAGTTCACATGTCTCTCAATAACCCACCCATTAGGCTAACCTCCAAAGCTCAGGTCTTTGCCGAGCCACGGAGGGACAGCACCGGCCCCAGGCTCACCTGCGAATGCCATGCACACATTGTCATCCAGAGCACAGATCTTCCGCACGGTTCTTTCATCCTGCAGTTTGGCCACTGACTTCTTCTCCACACCAAGAACAACAATGTCTTTTCCTCGAACGCCAACCTTCAATAAAAATCAACAGCACTTAAAAAAGTGACATTAGGGGCCGGCCCAGTGGCGCAGCAGTTAAGTGCATACATTCCGCTTCAGCGGCCCGGGGTTCACCGGTTTGGACCCCAGGTGCTGACATGGTACCGCTTGGCAAGCCATGCTGTGGCAGGCGTCCCACATATAAAGTAGAGGAAGATAAGCATGGATGTTAGCTCAGGGCCAGTCTTCCTCAGCAAAAAGAGGAGGACTGGCAGCAGATGTTAGCTCAGGCCTAATATTCCTCAAAAAAAAAAAAAAAGTGGCATTAGGGGCCAGCACAGTGGCGTAGTGGTTAATTTCACACCCTCCACTTCGGCCACAGAGGGTTCATGGGTTCAGATCCAGGGTGTGGACCTACGCACTGCTCATCAAGCCATGCTGTGGCCACATCTCACATATAAAACAGAGGAAGACTGGTATAGATGTTAGCTCAGCAACAATCTTCCTCAGGGCCAATCTTTCTCACCCCCCCCCCCAAAAAGTGACATGAGAGTTTGTCACCAGTCACAGAGCACTAAGAGCAGACATGAATACCCTAGGGATAGCAGTCCCCACACATCCCTCCCCCCACTCCTCAGACCACTGCTGTGGGCACCACACCCTGCAAACCATGGGTATTGACAGCAGAGCTAGCTCAGGTATCGTGACCTAGGTGCCTAGTCATGTGGCTTAAAACACTGATAGGTAGTTCCAATTATAATACAACTAAAAATTAACTACCATATAGTAAACGTGTATATGTATATTTATCAATCCAACCCAGTAAATCCAAGAGTCCAATGGATGGCGCCTTTAAGCCTGAGAGCCCAACATTCAAGCAGCGTTTCTGTAGTGGTGAAATTACACTACACCCTGCCCCGCTCTCTCCTGCACTATCGCACACCAGTGTGCACAGCTGTGGAGAAGGCCTGATTTGCCACCAGGTGGACAACTGTGTCAAGTATTACAGGTGTGAACTGCTCTCTGTTTATGGCTGACACCGTAGAGGGCCGAGGGATGTATTAGAAACAGGGAAAAATCACTAATGGCCAGTGAACTCCACAATCACGGCGGGAGCAGACAAATGGGACAATCGTTTGGAAAACCAACATCCCCTCTTTGTCTACAGCAGTTTCTCAGCCTCAGCACGGTGGCCACTCGGGCCTGCGAATTCTTTGATTAGAGTCAAAGAGGGCTGTGCCAAGCACTGTAAGGCGTTTAACGTCACCCCGGCCTCCAGCCCCAGCTGCCAGTAGTGCCTCTCCCCCATCCTGGACAAGGAAACATGTCTGCACACGTTGCCAACTGCCCCCTGGGGTGCACAATCACCCGGGGTTAAGAAGCGCTGGTCTGCAGTGTTTCAGATTTCAAGGAGCTTTCTCATATGCTGTCATACGTCATCTTCAAAATTCCCCGAGGGAAAGGCAGCCAGGCCCAGGGGTGCAAGGCAAAGCCAGCCACCCGGGCTGTCCCACGGTAGTCCTGCGGGTGGGAGGAGGGGGGCCAACGACCCTTCCAGTCTCTTTAAGCTGAGTTAGGGCACACGATGGATTTGGGGCCTTCGTTTCAAAACAGATCAAGAAAATGAGAAACAGTTCAAAATTCACAGAATCCTGTGTGCCTTCTCTCTGCCTGTCATACCTCTGAAATACCAGAAGATAAAAATTAAAACTATCGTACAGTGTGACCAACAAGCAAACTGACAGTGTCTCAAAGACACCATGAATTTAAATTTCAACCGGTGGTCGAAATGAGAGGTACAGGCGCCCAGGCAAGGGGACGATGGGACGGCGCACTGCCCAACGCAGTGGAGCGCTCAGAGCAGCGAGGCCCAGGAGGGAGCCCGTCAGCAGCCGCCCGCCCTGGGAGCGGCAGGCCGACACCGAGAACCTGCCCCGCTTTGTTCTCGAAGCCCACCTGACCTCGAGGACAGCCGCTCTCCCTGGTGGGGGACGGCCCCTAACCCGGAGCTGTCCGGGCGCAGTTCACCTAAGTCACGTGCTTGCTTAACATTCGCAGCCAGAGCAGCCAGCCGGGCCGCCCGGCGCCGCGCCCGCACCTCCGTTCGCCCGGGGCGCCTGAGCGCGGCCGCACCGAGCTCCCGGGGCCGGGGCAAAGGTGGCCCGCCAAGATGGCCGTCACCCCGGGCGCTCACACGCTCCGGAGACGCTGAAAGAAAGGAAGCTGGCTCTCTGATGCACCGCGGACGCAGGCCTCGCTGGTCTTCAAAGCACCCGGCACGAATCACCAGCAAACAGAGCCCACGCTCGCCCTGCGCGAAAACCCGTGTGACGAGCGCAAGCAGGCGCCAACACCCGTTCCCAAACGAGCCCGCTCCCTGTCTCCTCTAGGAACACCAACGCCCCGACCTCTCTGCGCTCAACTGGCGCCCCGGGGCGAACCCCGAAAGGCCAATCCAAGCAAAGCCGCCCCACAGCCCGGAGGAGGCCGTCCGCGCAGCCACTCGGGGGAAGCTCGCCGGCAAGGCGCACCCGGGCCCAGCCCGCCGGGAGCGAGGGCCACGCCAAGCCCCCCGACACCCCACTCTGTCCACAGCCGCGCCCACGACCGCTCAGGCCGTGCCCCGCGTCCCGGCCTCCCCCAGCTGAGACCCCGGCCGCCCCAGCCAGGCCCCCGGCAGGCCCGCTTCCGCCAGCCTCCGCGGGGGCGCGCAGGCCGGGCCGGCGGGCCGCTCACCGCGGTCGAGCCCTTCTTCACGGCCTCCTGCGCGTACTCCACTTGAAAGAGGTGGCCGTCGGGCGAGAAGACGGTGATGGCGCGGTCGTAGCTCATGCCGGCGGAGCGAGCGGCGCGGCGCGGCCGGACCGGGAAAAGCGCACACTCACCGCCGGCGCGGCCCGCGATTCACGACGCCGCTGCGCCCGCGCCGCGCGCCCGCCCGTCCCCGGCGCCGCCAATTGCGCCGCTGGCGTATGGCGGCGTCGGCGCGTCAGGCGGCGTCGGGCGGACGTGCGCGCGCCGGGGCGGGGCTAGGCCGAACCAACGGCGGCCGGACGCGGGGGGGAGGCGCGGCGGCGGCGGGCCGGGCGCGGGGCGCGGGGCGGCCGCTCGGGGGCGCCGCGCGAGGCTGCTCCTGGGGGGCGGGGGTCGCGCGGCGCAGCGGCGCGGCGGGACCGGGGGCGGCGTGTCGGCGGAGGGGCGGACGAGCCCACGGCGCGGCACCCCCCGCGCCCCCCGCCCCCCAGCGACTGCGGAGAATGAGCACCTCGGGCCGCGGAGCGCAGCCGGAGAAGGAACCCCGATGATCTCGGGCTGAGCCCGGGCCCGTGACCATGTCGGTGGCCTTCGCGTCCGCACGGCCGAGAGGCAAAGGGGAGGTCACACAGCAAACCATCCAGAAGGTGGGCCGGGGGCGCGGGCCGGGGCCGGGGGCCGCGTGGTGCGGGCGGGCGCGCGGGGCCGGGGCGCGGGCAGCCGGCGGGCGCGGGACGCGAACAAAGCCGGGGCGCCGCCGCCGACCGCGACCCCGGCGGGGCCCCGCGCGCGCTCTGCGGCCAGCCTGCGCCAGCTTGGTCGGGGGCGCGCGGGGGCCGCGGGCAGGGGCGCAGGGCGGCGGGGCCGGACGCCCGCGGGATGGTGTCCGAGAGGTGGTGTCCGCCGGGTGGTGTCCACGGGGTGGTGTTTGCTGAGTGGTGTCCGCGGGATGGTGCCCGAGCCGTGGTGTCCGCGGGGCCAGGCAGAGAACAGTCCCGGGCCGTGCCGGGCGCATTGGGGACCCACAGCCTTTGAGGCCGGGGGCGGCGGGATCAGGTGGCTGCGGGGACCCGCCTGGTTGGCGAAGGCGAAGGCGGTGGCGCAGCGCGGCGGGCGGCCCCTGGCCCCTGTGTGCAGCGCGGCGAGTGGAGGGAGCGCCGGGCGCACGGAGCGCCCGGGCCCTGGCTCAGCAGCCGGCCACGCCTGTCGCCTTGCTAAGGTGCTGGCACTCTAAGGCACCAAAGGGCGCGTCCCAAGTGTGGGACGGCGTTCCAGCAGCCCTGCAGCCCTTTAGGGAGCGCGCACCCCCTCGGGCTTGACCTGCTGGCCAAGCTTCCAGGCTCTTGTGCGCGAGCGAAGTTGCTTTTCCGCGTGACACCGGGCGGCCGCCTCCTCACCTAGCAGCAACTTTACAGCTTCTCTTTCCAGCCTTTCCCCGAGTTCTCTAAGTTTGGCCTTGTGGTTTTCTAGAGATAACTTTTACTTGGGTTTGGGGACACCTTTAACAAAAGTCTTAAGTTTGGGAATTGAGATTTTAAGTTTCCTGTGGTTTCTCTTTAGAAGACAAGTTCAGAAGAAGATCAGTGTTAGCCCGTCCCGTTTGAATTTTCTCGACGTGTTTGATAGCTGCGGTGATTTCTTTTCTAATCTCCGGATTCCTGGGGGGCTTGCCCTGGTTCCTATGAGCCTGTTTCCCCAGGGGCGTTCACTGTGACGACCTGCCTTGTGCTCGGCTCCTGTCTGTTCCGAGACTGCCTTTGCTGTGGCTGGTTTTGACACATGAGGTGTCTCAGGAAACTCAACAGGAAAGAGATGATTTGAGGAGCAGCAGACGTAGAGACTTAAAAGTGGGACCTTTTTTTGTTTAGTAAACATCATGTGGTGCTTACTGCATACCAGGTTCTGTTCTAAGGGCTTTGCAGATGTTAACTCATTTAATTCCTCCTGGTAGTTACTGTCGTCCCCATTGTGTAGATAAGGAAACTGAGGCACAGGGAGGCTGAGTGCCTTGCTGGTAAGTGGTGGTACCTGGAGTTAACCCAGACATCAGCTCCAGAGTCTGCTGTAAGCATGACACCTGGTTTGGGGACACCGGGCTAGGCTGAGCGTCAGGCGCTTGGTTCAGAGGCACTGGTGGGCCGTCCGAGGGGTCTCTTGGCACCGGGCCCTTTGGAGCTTAGGTGTGATGAGCACATCACTGTTCCCGAAGCCGCCTTTGGCTTCACGGTTATCCAGTTATTTGCACTTTGCACCCAGCCCCTACTAAAGCTCCCCAAATGTTAGAACATTGCCCCCAAACATCAGATCAGAAAGAGGGAGACCTGCGGCCGGCACCCCAGGGCAGAACACTGGCCTGCTGACCCTTCACAGCCGGTCGGTCCTCAGTTTAGCTGTCATCTGGTTTGATCTGGTGGGGCCAGCACTCCATGGACACGTCCTACTGTTCTCACAGTGAATACGCGTACCGAGGGCTCTTTTACTGGCGGTTTGAGAAGGGCGCGAGCTGTGTGCACAGCCTGTGCTCGTGCTCAGAGCGTTGAGAAAAGCCAGGGGTGCTTCAGAAGCCTGCTTGATAGTGAGAGCAGGAAAGGTACACTGAGTCCTTAGAGTGTATCTAGGTAGGAATTTGTCAGACAAACGCCTACTCAGCCTTCGAGCCTCCGCTCGGATGTGCCCTCCTTCGTGCTCTCGGTGGCCATGCGGTGAGCGTAGCACCTTGATGCATTGCTTGGGCTCCCAAGTTTGCATGCCACTGATTTATTCTTTGCTGTGTCTCCAGCCTGGCACAATGCTCGGCTCAGTTAGTGCCCAGTACATCCTGGGGCCTCTGTGATGCTGGGTCTGTCAGGGGCAGTGTTTGGGAGAGGCAGATGGGTTCATTTCCTGGGGCTGTCGTAACAGATTACCCCGAACTGGGTGTTTTAAAATAGCAGAAATTTATTTTCTCACAGTTCTGGAGGCCAGAAGTCCAAAATCAAGGTGCTGTCAGGTTGGATGCTTCCTGGGGTTGTGGGGGAGGGTGTGTTCTGTGCTTTCTCCGAGACTCTAGTGGTCTGGCAGTCCCTGGTGTTGCTTGTCTTTTAGACGCATCACCCCAGTCTCTGCCCCTGTCTTCGTGTGTCTTCTCCTCTGTGCCTGTCTCTGTGTCCAAGTTTCCCTCTTGTCATAAGGACACCAGTCATAGGATGTAAGGCCCACCCTAACCCTGTATGACCTCATCTGAACCTGGTTCCATTTGCAAAGATCCTATTTCCAAATAAGGTCACATTGACAGGTACTGGGGTTAGGACTTGAACATACCGTTTTGAGGGACACAATTCAACCTGTGACAGAGGATGCATGGGGAGGGGTATTCCAGACAAGGAGAACCAAGGAGCAGAGGTGGGAAGGGTCTGGAAGAAGGAGGGAGTCACCGGTGGTCCTGCCTGTGGTCTGCATGGAGCAGGTACGGGGACCAGTGCTGGGAGGGCAGGGAGAGCCGGCCTGCCCTGGGAGCCTGGGCCGCATGCTGGGCGGTGGAGCCTGCGGTGGCCAAGCACAGTTTTAGTGTGGGCTGAGGCAGAGGTGGAACTGCACTTTGCTGAGACCCACAGGGGACGTGACTGTGCTGGGGACTCTGAGGTGGAGGTGGGTAGTGTGCCAGCAGAATCCAGTGGCCCTTGTACCTGGCTAGCTGGCCTGCAGGCTGCAACCTGCCGCGTGCCGCTGTCCCCTGGTTTGGGACCAGGGAATCCTGGCCACCCAGCTCTGTGCTCCCAACACCATTGGTGGTGGGGGGGGGGGGCGCTGCGGCCATCTCCGTGGACCGTGAGGCTGCGCTTGGGTACATTGGAGGGAGTCCCTGGGTGTTGGCTTTGGCTGGCGTGCTGTTGGTTCCTTGCTGCTTGGCACATTGTAGTTGCTTAATAAATGTAAGTTCTGTTGTTACTGTTTGTTGTTGGTATTCTTAATTTGCTTCCTTGGGTGGAGGGTGGGAATGGTGTCTCGTCCCTCTTACCCCCAGTACTTTGTGCCAGGAAGACGAGCTCGGTGGGAGTGGGCGGAGCTGATAGGCAGGTGGGCATCTGCGTGTAGTTTAGGAAAGTGAGACCAGTGAGGGTGGGTGCCGTGCTGGGTCCGAGAGCCAGGGAGTGGCCGAAGCCGGACCAGCCTCGCCGCACTGTCCTCCATGCCCAGGGGCAGGAGGGTGAGGAGCACAGGGGTGGGGGCTGGCCATCTGGGTGGGGGGTGGGTGCCCTCTTCTCTCTCAGGCCTGGAGCTCCTTGTCTTAAAGAACGTGGGCTGATTTGGGAAGGAAGGCAAATTGGCCATTTTAAAATTAAAGCTGTCTCTGCCACTGCAAATGGTTTGGGGGCCACTTGATCCTTTTAGGCAGTTATTACTGAAGGCGCCTTCTCCCCAGTGAGCAGAGGCCCCGGGGAAGGATCCCTAGGGATGGGAAGGGGCCGTGTACCCTCACTCCGGTCCTGGGGGCCAGCCCTGGGGAGGGGTGAGGACGGGCCCCCGCAGAGCGGCAGGAGACGCTGGGGCTGGGGTGCTGTGTGCCAGCTCTTGGTGGCTTCTTTGTCGACTTGTGTGTCTTGAAATGCTGACCAGTGAGGGCACCGCTCCGCAAGTCACTGGAGTGCCCTCGGACCTGAGCACTGCAGAGGCTCCAGCTGCAGCCCCTGCGGGCAGGGCAGCACGTCCTCCAGGAGGGAACAGCCACACCCAGGCCTCTGTCCCCTCTGCCCAGTAAAACCTGGCAAGAGCCCTCCTGCTGGACACTCCAAAGAAGGTGTGCTGCCTGCCTGCTGCCCAGCCCTCAGGAGCCCCTCCAGCCTGGAGGACCAGGAAGCTCTGGATAAGGCGTGGTGGCCACCCCGCATCCCTCTTACCCCTCTCCGTTCTAAAGCGGTCGCCTGCCTCGTCCAGCACCTGCGTCCGTCTTCCATGCAGTAGCTGTGTGTGTGGTCTGGTGGCAGGGAGAGGGGCAGCACTTGCTAACAGGGGTCCCCGTTGGTTCTCTCCTCTTGGCTCTGGCCCTATGCCCCCAACCTGTTCCCCGGCCAGGGGGTCAGGGCCTGGGCACCTGCTCCTCTGTGCTTGGAGTCAGAGACAGCTTCCCTGGGCCCCCGTGGCTGCGAGTGAAGAACTGCCATGCCCAACCGCACAGATGCAGGAGTGCGGGGGGCCTGGCACTGATGTCCCTAACCCTGCAGGACCCGGAGGGAGGGTGGGCTAGTCTTGACTGCCTGATCCATGCGTGCACCTCAAGCGCACCCTGCCGTGTGAATGGGACAAGAGTCAAGAGGGAGAAGGTACTAGATGTCTGTGCAGAGAGGGCTCCTGTAACGAGGTCTCCTTCTCCTTGGCCAACAGGTGGTTCCTGTGCAGAGTGCCAGTTGCTGTGGGCTCCTCATGTTTCTCTTCAGTTGGAGATCGCTGTGGGGTCAGGGGCCCTGGGGTCAAGGATGGGGACTCCATGGAGCTGGGGGGCTTCCTGGGCTCAAATTCTTGTTCTGCTGATAGCCAAGCGTAGCCTTCTGCGCCTCAGCTTCCTTGTTTTAAATGAGGGTGACGTGTGAGCTCACAGGTCATCTTCTGGTTAGACGATGTCGCCTGGCACAGGAAGGTGCTCAGCATTGTAACTGATCGTCTTCAGCCTCTGGATCAGACGTTTGGCCAGAATTTGTCAGTAGCATTCTGAAAGGGAGGTGAGGGTTCCATTCTGAGCTGCAGGAAGCCGTCTCCAGGTCCACAGTTGTGTGAAGCAGACAGTGTAGCTGTCTGGGTCCAGCCGTGGCGGGTTTAATGCAGTGCGCACCTCCCTCTCCAGTGCAGGAGCTCTCACAGGCGCAGAGTGGTTTTGCTGTGCTGTGGTCACACGTTTGTAAGTATCCCCAACACTGAAGACGAGAAATGACTCCTGCATGGCCTGAGGAAGATGAAAGTGTGTTTCCTGTTGCAGTAACGTTAAGTATGTTTCACAGTGTCCTGAGAGTTTTTTGGAAGTTGGATATGTGTGTCAAACACAGAGGTTGGACCATAGGCAGGCCCAGCTCCTCCCAAGGACACTGCATGTGTGTAAGGTTTGGGTTTTTGAAACCCACACACCTAATTCACATACTCTGCAGTTGGGTACATGCTCAGAGGGGTCGTTGGCTTCCATCAGCGCTTCTGGGCACTGGCTCAGCCTCTGGTGAAGCTTAACCAGCTGCCCAGGTAGCCAGGGCTCATCCCTCTGCACCTCAGGCTGCTCCCAGGAGTTCATCTGGCACCTGCGTCTGCCCCTGTGTGGGGCATGCATCGCGGCCACCTTGCAGAAGTGGAAGATGGGAGACCAACCGAATACCATATGGGATTTCTCTGGAGCTGAGGAAGCAGTGAGGTGGGATCTTTATGCACCCATACAGGACCATCTCCAAGACATCAGAGAGGAAAGGGCATGACGTAGACCAGTGGGAAGGGAACGTCTCCATGTGTTTGCACAGTGAGGGGGGATGCGTCCAGAAGGAGCAGGGGTTGGCTAGCTCTGGTGGCCTCGGGTGGGCGGCACGAGGCCCACCGCTCACTTGGGGCTACCTGAACTTCAGCACGCCCGTGAGCCTCTTCCCCTTTAGACAGAAAGCAACAAATCTTTGTTAATTAAAAGAACAGCCACAAGGCCATTGTGACGGATCTTTCTGCCCTGCCCATTGTGGGGTGACCTGAGCCCCCCGTGAGCAGTGATCCTCGAACTCCCAGATCTCTCTGTGCCCCCCTTCCAGGGCCACACCCGGCTTGTCATGGGGTCTGCTCACTCTTCAGAGATCCTCACCCGCCTTTACCCAGTGGCCCCAGCCCCTGTCCCCTACTCTCTTTGTGGGCTCTGGGACCCCCAGTCCCTCCCCTTTCCCAGTCTCTGTCGTCCTTCCCCACCCAGTCAGGACTGCCCGTGTGGCCTGAGCAGTTCTAGGCCTGTCCCCTGTGCCAGCCCTGCCTCCTGGCCTACGTGTTCTCACTGTGGGATGTCCGTGGGAAGCGTGCCCCGGCCCTCCAAGCCTGTTGCTCGTCGATTCCCTCACAGCCAATCCCAAGCCTTTGTAAAGCCTGCGTGGTAGCTTGTTACGGAGACGGGAGTGACATCTCTCACCTCTGTGCCCCGTGTTCCTGCTCCCACGTGGACACTGGGCTTGGCCTCGTGACACTCTGACCACTGGGACATCAGCCAGCGTGACACAACAGAGGCTTGATAAGTGCTTGTGCACGGGGGCTGCCCCCTGGGAGCCCTGAGACCACCAGGATGACCACATGGAGAAAGAGGCACAGGCCCCCCAGCTTTCCCACAAGGTCAGCACCCCACCGACTCCAGTGGTGAGCCCACGTGAGACCAGCAGCAGACGCGCCCAGACAGCCCAGGATCATGAGAACTAGGAAATGGTTGTTTTAACCACAGCGTGTGGGCAGCTTTGTCATGCAGCAGCGTGAAACAGACGTGCCCACGTGCATCGTGACCTTGGTCCCGTCAGCCTCTGCAGTCAGCCCAGGCTGTGGTTGAGAAAGTCCCCCTCACTTCACTGGGCACAGGACTGCCATCTCCAGCTACCCCACGGTCGTCCGCTCTGGCACTCCACAGCCTTGTCTCCAGCTCCCGGCACTTGTCTCCGTTCCTGGTCGTGCCCTGCTCCACCATGCCTTTGCATGCACTGCGCCCTCTACCTGGGCTGCCCTTTCTCCCATCTTCACCTGTGCGCTTCTGGGCAGCTTTCGAGCTCCAGCTCGCATGTCATCTCCAGGTGCCTCCCAGGGCGCCTGCTGCCGAGATCACATTTGACACACTGCTGCCATATGGCGCCAAGCAGATGTGTGCTCACATTGGTCTCTGCCCAACTCTGACCAACTGCTGCCACTCCACTGTGAGCAAGAGCGTGGTCTCGCCTGCTCCCTGTCATGCCCACCAAGGCCTCAGACGGGCCTTCAGAGGTGGGGAGCTCACTTCCACTCGCCAGCATGGCCCTTGATGCCCGCCTCTGGTTCCTCCAGGTGGTGGTGCCACCTTCACAGTTCTTTGTCCCCAGCGTCCTCTCCTCGGGAGGCCATGGGCCACACCTGGCATGTGGGTTTCAGCCCGCACACTTCACCAGTCTCAAACTCCCTTCTCTGTGACGTTTGCCTGCACGAGTCACCCCTGAACCTGTAGAAAACCAGTCTTCCCAAGAGAGCCGAGTGTGAGGGGCGTGCCTTCTGATGCAGGAAAATGCAAAACTGCTGGTAAGAAAGCCTAGGAGCCCGGTGTCGAGAGAAGACAGCAGTAGACACGGAGAACGAGATCTTTAATCCTCCAGTCGGCGTAAGTGGTTTCTTTATTTTTCAACTTTGTGTTACGGGCACGTTTTTAGACACACTCTAGGTAGAGAAGAGTCAGATGAGGCCTGGACCTGCCCAACTCAGGCACTCCCTGACTCCCTTCAGGCATCTTTAAAATCACTTTTTTGAACAATGACATGCCTATCTTAGAAATTGTCATAAATGCAAATGCGTAAAGGAAGTGAATTCTCTATCCATAATCTCTGACCTAGGGAGAGCCAGCGTTTCTCTCCTGTCACTTGGCTTCTTGTTGTTAGGTTAGATTTTATACTCCTCAAAGCCACGCTGCGCGTAGTCAGTTCTGTGGGGCTTGTGTTAAAAATGAGGAGTAATTCTTTCAGCCCACGCTCTGTTTCCTACTTCCCAGCAGCACCCTCATTACTAAACCAAGTGGCTGCTTCTTGAGCATTTTTAGCTTTACGCATTGTCTGTTTTCTTAGCTCCAGCTGCTGTAACGAAATATCATAGACTGCGGGGCTTAAACACACAGATTTATTTCTCACAGTTCTGGAAGCTGAAAGTCCGAGATCAAGGTACCAGGAGGTTCGATTCTTGGTGAGGACCTGCTTCTGGCTTGCAGGTGGCCACCTTCTCACTGTGACCTTCCATGGTGGAGAGGGGGAGAGGGCTCTGGTGTCTTCCTCTTCCTGTAAGGACACTGATCCCATCATGGGCGCTCCACCCTCCTGACCTCATCTAACCCTAATTACCTCCCAAAGGGCCCAGCTCCTAATGCCATCGTAGTGGAAGTTAGGCCTTCAACATAGGACTTTGGTGGGGGACACACATATTCAGGCTGGAATATGTGTTGGTCTCACCTGATGACCATGGAAAATGGGGATTTCACTCTTTCACACACCCTTCCTCACCACACGCCTGCACTCCCTGCTCCCTGTTCCCCCAGAGTGGCTTCCTCCTGCTTGGAATTAGATCCACATCTGGTGTTGACGTTGTCGTGCCTGTATAAATGGCCTTCCACGCAGGATCATATGGTCACTTTTCCTGCCCCGCCCTTTGTTTTCCCTGGAGTTGGTAATCTCTCCTTCTTTTTAATCACTTTTCACTGGTTTATCCCAGACTCTGTTCCAACCATGGAAACCGCCTCAGCACAGGTGTTCTGTCAGGTTCATTGTCTTGCGGCCACTCTTTTTGGGCCTCCTTAGTTCTCCCTCCACCATTGTCCCAGATTTTTTGGCTTCTCCTGTGTTGGGTCTCAGGTTTTCCCATTTTGATATTTGCTCCCTTGTTTTGGTGGACTGCATCCTTTTGTAAAGCTTCCTGAGAAAAGGTGTATGGGATGTGAAGCTTTAAAAAAATTCCCATATTCTCTTCATCCCGATTCCCCAAATTTTAACATATTGCCTCATTTGCTCTCTTCTCCTCTCCCGCCCCCCTGCCCTCTGCCTACGTCTTATCATGGCCTGAACCATTTGAGAGTGAGTTGCAGATATAATACCCCTTTACTCTCAAATACTCAAGCATGACTTTCCTTACAACAAAGACATTATAACCACAGTACAACGATTGAAATCAGGGAGCTGATATTGATACAGTACTGTTACCTGACCTGCAGACCTAATTTCGATTACCCATTTTGTCAATGTGTACTTTATAGCAAAAGAAATCTCCAAGTCACATAGGTTTAGTTTCCCATGTAAGGAACGGTTCTTTTGTCTTCTTTTTCTTTAAGATTTTGACATTTTTGAAGAATGTGGGTCATCTGGGTGGCAGACGCATTTTCCTAAATTGTGTTCAGCATGTATGTTCGTTTTACCCTCACATTTAGTCTGTGTTTTGGCTGACCAGAATTTGGGAGAGGAGTCTCCCTCGAGATCAGGTTATTGCACCTCAGGATGTCTCCTTCAGGGGTGGGTCATCTCTACTGAGGAAGTCTCTCCCTCAGGATCGGATTATCTCCCCTATAGAAGACTCCCCTCAGGATCAAGTCATCATTCCACAGGAAGTCTCTCTCAGGATCAGATTCGCTCTCCTCAGGAAGTTTACCTTATGATCAGGTCATTGTTCCTACAGTCTCCCCTCAGAAGGTCTTCCCTTGGGCCAGCCCAGTGGCATAGCTGTTAAGTTTGCGCGCTGTGCCTCAGTAACCTGGGGTTTGCCATTTGAGATCCCAGGCGCAGGCCCATGCACACTTTTCAAGCCATGCTGTGGCGGAAGTCCCACATATAAAATAGAGGAAGATGGGCACAGATGTTAGCTCAGGGCCAGTCTTACTCAGCAAAAAAGGAGGGTTGGCGGCTGATGTTAGCTCAGGGCTAATCTTCAAAAAAGAAAGTCTTCCCTTGGTATTGGTCACCTTCTCACAAAGTCTACCTTGAGATATGGTCATGTTTCCTCTGGAAGTCTCCCTCAGGATCAAGTGATTGTATACACAGAAGACTCCTTTAGGATAAGATAATCTCTAGAAGTCTCCCTCAGGGCCAGGTCATCTCTCTTTAGGAAGTCTCCCTTGAGACCAGATCATTTCTCCACAGGAAGTCTCCCTTCAGGATCAGGTCATCACTCCTCAGGTGGTCTCCCTCAGGATCAAGTCATCTCTCCTCAGAAAGTCTCCCTTGAGATCGAGACATTTCTCCTGTGGAAGTTTCCCTCAGGATCGGGTCATCTCTCTTAAGGAAGTCTCCTCTCAGGATCGAGTCATATCTCTTCAGGAAGTTTCCCATCAGGATCAGATCTTCACTCCTGAGGAAGTTTCCCTCAGCATCAGGTCCTCTCTCCTCGGGAAGTCTCCCTCAGGACCAGGTCATTTCTCCTTAGGAAGTCTCCCCTCAGAATCAGTTCATTTCTCTACAGGAAGTCTTCCCTCAGGATCAGGTCATCACTCCTCAGGTGGTCTCCCTCAGGATCAAGTCATCTCTCCTCAAGAAGTCTCCCTTGAGATCAGGTCATCGCTCCTCAAGAAGTCTCTCCTCAGAATCAATCTTCTCTCCTCAGGAAGTCTCTCCTCAAGATCAGATCATATCTTATCAGGAAGTCTCTCCTGAGGATCAAGTCATCTCTCTTCAGGAAGTCTCCCTCAGGATTGAGTCATCTCTCGGGAAGTCCCTCTCAGGATCGGGTCATCACTCCTTAGGAAGTCTCCCCTCAGGATCTCTCCTCAAGAAGTCTCCCCTGAAGATCAGGTCATCTCTCCTCAGGAAGTCTCCCAGGATTGGGTCATCTCTCCTCAAGATTAGGATTAGGTAATTGCTCCACAGGAAGTCTCCTCTCAGGATCAAATTCTCTCTCCTCAGGAAGTCTCCCTCAGGATTGGGTCATTTGTCCTCAGGTGGTCTCCCTCAGGATCACGTCGTCTCTCCTCAGGTAGTCCTCCTCAGATCAGGTCATCTCTCCTCAGGTAGTCCTCCTCAGATCAGGTCGTCTCTCCTCAGGAAGTCTCCCTTGAGATTAGGTTATTTTTCCTCTAGAAGTCTACCCTTGGGATCAGGTAACTGCTCCAGAGGAAGTCTCCCCTCAGCATTGGGTCAGCACTCCTCAGGAAGTCTCCCTCAGGATTGGGTCATTTGTCCTCAGGTGGTCTCCCTCAGGATCACGTCGTCTCTCCTCAGGTAGTCCTCCTCAGATCAGGTCATCTCTCTTCAGGAATGATTTTCTCCCTGTGTTTTCTGTCTTTCTGGAAGTTATGGAAGAACTGTTTTTGGCCACTTGGATCGTTCTTCTAATTTCATTATGTTTTTTTCTACCTTGATCTTTCTGATATGCTTTCTAGGAATTTTCTTTAACTTTGTATTTCAACACTTCTGTTGTTTTTTTGCTTTGGTCAGTATATTGTAACTATCCAAGAGCTCTTTTTTGTTGTTGTTTTTAATAGCACCCTTTTTCTATGGATACGATAATGTATTATCTTTTGAAGATATTAGTAATAGTTGTGGGTTTTTTCTTCTTGTTTTTTAAGTTTCCTTCTTGCATAATGCTCATCTCCTCCAGCTTTCGGCCTCTGAGGCTGGTTTTGGTCTGTCTCAATTACAGGCTTCCCACGAACACTGGTGCGGCTCAGCTGTGCCCTCGTGTTTAGGACTAGGACACCGAGGGTAGGGGACACCGGGTGATGGGCCAACTTGGTCTTTGTCTTCACCTGAAGGTGTTCTCCTGCCTTCAGTGTTCTAGCGCTTTCCTCCCAGGCTGGTTGTTTTCCGTCGAGCCACCTTGCCCCTCTGCCCCGCGCCCCCTTCCCTGTCCCCGGCCAGGTAGCCGTGGGGAGGGCCCGGGATCTCAGCCTTCCCGAGCCCTGTGGGCTCCCGAGTGCGGCTCAGTGCCACATCCAGCCCCCTGGCGTCTGCCAGTTCAGTTCTCACTCATCCATTTGCTTTGCACTTCTAGAATCCAGCTGCTGCTGCTGCGCTCCATCGGTCACCACCTGCCGGGCCTGTGAGGGCTCGGAGCGCGGCACGCTTCCCGTCCGCCATCTTTCACCTGATGGGTCCTGGCCTGTTTTCTGCGTGCTTTAACTTAACTGAGATGATACTCTGTACCCTGCTTTTAAAAAAGCCTCCATCCTAACAGTGTAACATCTCATGCTTATAAAAACTACGAAAACGTTTCTATGGGCTGGCTGACATCTCACCAAACGGTCCCACCGTAATTTGCTTAATCCTGTCATTGACTGCTTAGCTTGCCCCCGTCTTTGAGCTGTTGTGAACAGTACTGAGACGGACATCTGTGTATAAAACGTTTTAGTGTGCAGCGTGTGTCCTTGGGAGAGAATTCTTGCCGTGGACTTCCAAGTCCAGGAGTTGAAGCCGTAAAGCCTTATATAAGGGTGGCTCTCGGAGGGATAGGGGGACCGTCGTTTGCAGTTGTTTCCTTTCTTAATTCATCTGGAGAAAGTCTCGATGTGCCAGTGGCACGAATGCCGGGTCCTGGTGTGTTGAATCGCCCTCATGCCCCGAGGTGAGCTCCAGGGGCAGCTCCTGGCCCACAGCGCCCCCTGGTGGTTTCCCCGTCCAGGGCCGGCTCCATGGCCAGGGTGAGAATTGCTGAACTTGGGGCGTCGTCTCCACAGTGGGGAGAAACGGGAAAGCATAGAGAGGAGGAAGCTGTAACGTAGAAACTGAGCAGGAGAAACCAACCCTGAAGTCGCAGAGGCCAGGCCGAGGGTGAAGCTGAGCCAGGGCAGTGGCTCTGCAGGGCTCGGGGTGGACTCCGCCCTGCCGTGTGGTGTGGCCCCACCCTCTGTGCCTTCCTCTCCTCTCTGTGGCCGAGTTTGGGCCCAGGGCTCCGAAGGAGTGGCACCCTGAGGTCAGAGCACCGTTACGGGCCCTCAGGGCAGTGTGCTGGGTCACCTGCACAGTGGCAGGTGGGTGGGCCCCTCCGCCTTCTTGGGGGCCTGCAGAGCTGAACCTGCCCGGGGGAACCTCCTGGGCCCAGATGAGTGGGCACAATTTGGTGGAGCCGAAAAGCACAGATTTTTCCTTTGGTAAGAGTTTCTGAGGAAAGGCCTTTTTATGGAAAGCAGCATTTGCGGTGGGCCCAATTCTGCCCCTCCCTGCAAAGCGGGGCGCTGCCCACATGGACAGGCAGTGAATGAGCCGGACGCTTCTCCACCTCTTCACGTCCACGTGGGGAATGGCTCACACTGTGTCCCCCTAGCCGTCCCCTGCTGACCAGACCCTGGGCCCACTGGGTAGGCCGGCCACGGCTGCCTGGTCTTGTGCTGTGTGCTGCCGGCGTGGCTTCTGCCGCAGCTCTCCTCGCAAGCCTTCCTGTGCTCCCGTCGGGCCTCCTCTCTCCTGCTTCTTCCATCACCTCATCCTGGGTCTCCCCTGGCCATCCCAGGTGGCCGTCCCAAAGAGGTGGCTCTCCAGGGATGTGAGCTGCCTCCCCCAAGAGTGCCCGTGATTGCGGATCTCACACCCTCCAGACCAGGGCTCGGGGTCCCGGCGTCCCTGCTGTCGACTCTTGGCTCCCCCTAGCTGGACAGATACACTGTGGTCAAGGGGCCAGAAAATTGGGTCCTGCAGGCTGTGGGTTTTCATTTGTGGGGTGAGAGAGGCTGGGAGCTGCCTGCGGGGTTGGAGTATTGACCCTGGCCCCCGAGGGCTGTGTGCTTAGCACAGTAGTGTGGAAAGTGCCTGGTCCCACTGGCTGAGGTTGCATGTGAGAGTGACAGTTTGTACATAGAGAGTGACAGGTACTGTCACACGGCTGGTGAGTGCCTCGAGCAGGTGCCCTCTGACCCCAGCAGGACTCTGGCAGGCGCGTGCGTGCCCCGCACTCACGTCTGCTTCTCCTGCAGATGCTGGACGAGAACCACCATCTGATCCAGTGCATCCTGGACCACCAGAGCAAGGGCAAGACAGCCGAGTGTGCCCAGTACGTGTCCCCACCCCCACCCCCAGTCTCCTTGGGCGGCGCTGAGTGGCTTCAGCGAGTCCAGCTGCAGAGGTCATCTAGGCCACTAAGAGTCACCCTTTGGAGGGTGGCCTACTCCCCCCAGGTCACTCCCCAAGGAGACAGGGGAAAGTTTGGGGGGCAGTGGAAGTGTGGGAGGAGAGGCCTGCTGGGGAAGCCAGAAGGCCCAGGCCAGACCGTGGTTGTGGATGCACCAGGGGGACAGAGAGCTCCTCTAGGTAGGACCTCATGTGACGCCTCCCAGGGCCAGACAGATAGGAGGTGCTCGAGCTGGCCGCCACCCCTCCCAGAGGTGTTCCTGTGTTAAACTGAGCTTTCCCATGTCCTGCGAGCACCTCTTCATGGGGCTGGGGTATCAAGTTATCTTGGTGTCAGAGTGAGCCTGAGGAGGGCTGGTCCCCTGGCATCCCCTCCTGCATCCCCCTCAGGCCCCTGCCTCCTCGTGACCCACCCCCACCTCCATTCTCTGAACAGATTGGGTGGCACCTCCCCCTTGGCTGCCACCTTGGGGTCTTTCCAGCATTTTGTCATCGAACGGGATCCCACTCCCTGCCTAGCCCCGTCCTGGCCCACAGGGTGCTCTGCTGCCTTCACAGTCCCCGGGGCTTGGCTGCGGGGCAAGGCTGTCCAGATAAACTACTGCTTCGGATGGGCCGCGGGCTCCACCGCCTCACTGTGTGCCCCTTGCCCGCAGGTACCAGCAGATCCTGCACCGGAACCTGGTCTACCTGGCCACGATCGCAGACTCCAACCAGAACATGCAGTCCCTGCTCCCCGCCGTGAGTGTCTGCGCGTGGGGGGACTCCCCACCATTGCCCACCACAGTCAGGCACAGCCTCAGACGGCCGGTGCAGGGAGCAGAGGGGACAGGAGCCTGAGACCGGGGCGGGGCGGGTCCTCACATCAGGTCAGGCGGACGTTTCTGAAGTGGACTGGCCAGAATCATGCCGTTGGCTTCTTTAGCAAAGGGAGATGAGTGACCCCAGAGGAGCCAGACCTAGAAATGGTGGGAAGCTGATCTGGGGACAAGGGGAAGTGGCACGGGGGTTTCTTGCTTTTCATTCTCAGCCCTTCTGAGTGATTTGAAAAGTTATGACCCATGAGCTTGCGCTACTTTGGTCCAACAACAAAACTTAAAAAAACTGCTTCAAATATTAATACAAACATTTTCTATTTGACTTTAAAACGCATTCTCTTCAAATTAAATTACTGCTGCAAAGGCAAGACCCGCGGCAGCCTCGGCCTCCTTCGAGGTGAGGGGCAGGCGCAGCCTCGAGGTGGACTGGTCTGTGTTGACCCTGCTAGGCGGGCAGTTTCCAGGCCTAACATGACGCAGGAAGGCTCACTTCCCAAGGCCCCTTGGTCCCCATCTTGAACACCAGGATGTGTTTTGCTAGTAAAAATGTTAAGCCAACTTTGATTGGGCTATCGAATTGGGTTCCTCACCCTTGAGGTACAGCAGATCCTGCTGGAAAGATCCTTTTCTTGGCCAGATGTTAACAGCATCTGTGTCTAGACCTTCGGAGCTGCTGTTTGGCCTCGATCTGGGAGACGGGGATGCTGGGAGGGTACTTGCAGTCCCTGTGTCCCTGATATGTCCTGTGATGAGGGGTGGACGTAGGGGTGGACAGGAGAGGAGGGTGAGGACCCACACAGGAGGAGTGCCTGGGAATGCAGTACTGAGGCACAGGACCACCTGTGCAAAGGCCCTGGGGCTTTGGGAGCGGAGGGACACAGAGACGCCTGGCCAGCTGAGTTCGAGAGGGGTAGGGAGTGGTGTGGAGCAATGAGGTGGCTGCCGCCTTGTGGGCTGGTGAAGCAGTTCCCTGAATCCCAGGGAAGGGGGCCCAGCTTTGAAGCTCCAAGTGTATCTTGATAAGCTCGGTACTTGTTTAAGTTCTGAATGTTTACGCAGAACGCTTGGCGTAGCGTCTCTGTCTTGGCTTGAGCTACTTGGCCCGGTTGTCCTCGGTCACCCGGCCACGTGAGAGTGCCGTTGGTTAGACATCTGCCAGGCGGCTGTGAGATTCCCCACTACGTCCCTTTCCTGGCGAATCCTGTCTCGTGGCTTCTGCTGGTTGTTCTCTGTGTTAACCATGCTCCCCGTAACCTTCCTATCGCCCGCAGCCGCCAACCCAGAACATGAACCTGGGCCCCGGAGCGCTGTCCCAGAGCGGCTCCAGCCAGGGCCTGCACTCCCAGGGCAGCCTCAGCGACGCCATCGGCACAGGCCTGCCCGCATCCTCCCTCTTGCAGGGCCAGATCGGCAATGGTGAGTGACCCTGAGCTCTTGCGGGCTGGGCCTTGGGTTTGGGGTTGGTTCTTGGCAATAAGGTCACCAGTGCAGGCTCCCGAGTGGGTGGCTGCCTCGTGAGGTACCCCGCGCCCTCAGGGCTCAGCTTGGGAGACCCCTCTCCTCCCAGGGGTCCTGGCCCCAGGTCGGCTGCCATGCCCAGGCGCACATGCACGGGGGTAACGTGCAGAGAGAATGACGCCCTCCTTCCGGATCTTTACTCTGCTTTGACACTAAGTATGGCCACTTCAGATCAAGGGGCGGGGATCCACATGGATTTTTGAACAGGAAAGGAAATGCTCTTGTCTTTGCATGAGAACTATTAATAGCCGTTGGGAACTGTTAGTAACAATATAACAATGAGTACATGACTCACCTTCTGCACTGTCAGCCTGTGTGTCTATTTCTTTATTAATCACTCCATTCGTAGGGGTATCAGCGTGGTCGGCCTCCCTCCCCACGATCACTTGCAGGAAACTCGTGTCCAGCAGCAAGGCCAGGCCTGCTGTCACTGGTGGTCTTAGAAGGGCTTAAGGCCCCTCTCCCCGTCCCTCCCACAGGTCCGAACCACGTGTCCATGCAGCAGACGGCACAGAGCACTCTGCCTACCACCTCCATGAGCATGTCGGGCAGCGGCCATGGCACGGGGCCTGGCTACAGTCACTCAGGACCCGCCTCGCAGAGTGTGCCCCTGCAGGGGCAAGGCGCCATTGGCAACTATGTGTCTCGGGCCAACATCAACATGCAGTCCAACCCAGGTACCTCCCCGCTGGGACCTGGGAGGCCCCCGCCCGACCCTGGGCCCGATAATGCATGTGGTCCTGAGGGGCTGCCCTCCTACTGGGCCCCGGGACACCCTCGCCCAACCCCGGGCCCGGGAATGCTCCTGCCCCTGGGACCCTCGGAGACGCGTGTGGGCTGTGCACACGGTCCTGAGGGGCTGCCCTCCCACTGGGCCCTGGGCTGTGCTGGGGGGGAGAGGGCAAGTCCCAAGGGCTGCCCTCCTCCAGGAGCTTCCTGAAGGGAGGTCCGGCTTTGGGGGCTGCGCTGCCCCCTGTGGCCGCTTCGAGAAGGCTCTGAGGAGGGGCCGCACATGCCCTGCTCAGGGGACAGGATGGGGCTCCCACAGGTAGGGGGCTGCGTGGCCAGAGGCACAGACGTGGGAAGGATGAGGGGCCAGGACACTCGGTGGGCCAGCAGGAGCCCCAAGAGCTGGGCTTCCACTGCAGGGCCTGGGCCCTGGGCAGCTTCGGGTCCAGCTTGAGATGTCCCACGAGTGTCAGACACGCTGGTTTAGAACAGGAAAAGGGGACGTAACGTATCTTCTTGGTTTTCCTTATATTAATTACATACTGAAAATGATCATATTTTGGATATGTTGAGTCAAATAAAATGTATTACTAAAATAGATTTCACCTGTTTCTTTTTACTTTGCTGACTGGCTCACATCTCACCCTGTTGGGGGCCACTGCTCTAGAGGGTTCTGAGCAGGGGCGACCTGAGTGGACAGCAGGAGACCACGACCTGGCCTCAGAGGCCCGGGTCTCAGGGCAGGCAAGGGTAATGGGCTCCTCTGGGACCAGCCTGCGGAGTCAGGGATGGGGAGGAGAGGACCCTGTTCCTGCGTGCAGCGCCCTGCCCGGTGGTGCCTGCCAGCGTCTCCTGAATGTCGCACACTTTTAAGGAGTTAGCAGAAAGCTTCGCTGGTAGGAGGTGTGATAAGGCATCAAGGGGATGATCTCGTCGGGGAGCCGCAGGGGAACAGCGATGGCTCAGCCTGGGAGAGGGGTGCAGCCAGGGTCCGGGGTGGGGAGCGAGGATGCCCGCTCTGGGAGCTTCTTGGGGTTATTCGGGGTCTGTCATGTCGCCCAGTGTCCATGATGCACCAGCAGGCAGCCTCATCCCACTACAACTCGGCACAGGGCGGGAGCCAGCACTACCAGGGCCAGTCGTCCATCGCCATGATGGGCCAGAGCGGCCAGGGCAGCAGCATGATGGGGCAGCGGCCCATGGCACCCTACCGGCCCTCGCAGCAAGGTAACGCCCGTGCTGCCCTCCGAGCACACTTCTCCGCTGGGAATGGGGGTGCGAGGCCTCACACGCTCGTCCGGACTGAGCGAGGACCTCGGGGGTCCGGAGCCGGTGAGGGACTCGGGGAGTGAAGTGCGAGAACCATTGTGGCTCCCACAGGAGGCCGAGGGGGCAGTCGGCGCAGGCCTGGGGTGGGCTGTGGGGGCATGCCCCACCTCCTCGGGGAGGCGCGAGGGGTGTCTGAGTCGGTGCCCATTGAGGTTCTTGGGTCGGGGGGTCCTGACTGAAGTCAGACCGGCTCGGGCCCTGAGCTGACCCACGCGTGTCGTCCGCAGGCTCGTCCCAGCAGTACCTGGGCCAGGAGGAGTACTACGGCGAGCAGTACGGCCACGGCCAGGCTGCCGCGGAGCCCATGGGCCAGCAGTACTACCCCGACGGTGAGGGCAACGCTCACTGTGCCCCGGGCCCTCCCGGTTCAGACCTGTTGCCCCTGACGTCTGCCAGCCGGGCACCCAAAGCCCCCTTGCCTGAGCACATGTGGGGGTGGGCGTGAGGGCTCGTCTCTGCTGAGAGAAGCTTCCAGCACACAGGGCCACTCACCTCCTCGGACCTCCTCGTCTCCGTTCTCGAGAGGCAACGGGTTTGAAGCTGGGGTGTGCATAGATGATGTTAACGTTCGAAAATATGGACACAAGGTTCCTCATGAAACTCCCCAGAAAGCGACAGCCCTGATCTGACTGTTCCCGTCTTGTAATGCTTGGTTATAATCGCTGCAGGTTGTTTTCCTTTGAATTGTCACCTTTCATTAAGTATGTTCACGTTGTGCAGCCGCCACCACCGTCTCTAAGTAGTCCCACGGTTTGTGGAGGTGGCATGTAAAGTGGTCATACAGGATGGGTGGGGTTTGGGGAGGAGGACACCCAGGCAGGGGACCCGTGTGAGCGAGGGCAAGTCAGGAGTGCATGACCAGGGCAGGAGGCTGGTGCTGGAGAGGCGGCCAAGACCAGTGCAGGGCAGGCCGTGCCCCACACCTGACAGTGACGGGGCATCGTGATGGTCACGTGCTCCCGATGGGGAACCTCTGCAGTGGGCAGCAGGATGGCATTCACGCAGCAACCTTGACAGCTCATGGCCACTCGTGCTTGTTGCGTACTGAGCACTGTGTGTCCTCTGTCGTCTGTCAGCCATCACTTAATCCTCGCACTCACCCCATGGAGCAGGTGGCGTCTGCATTCTAAAGGACAGAAACCGCTGTGCAGAGCTGGGAGCGAGCTCCTCCGCGGGCCTCGCGCTCAGCTGTTGGCTCTGCTGGCCCGGCGGTGTCACCATGCAGCTCATGCACTCTCTCCTGGGAGCTTGGTGGTCAGGGCTTCAGCTGACCGCAGGCCATCTCCGTCTGCTCACAGGGCATGGTGATTACGCCTACCAGCAGTCGTCCTACACGGAGCAGAGCTACGACCGGTCGTTCGAGGAGTCCACACAGCACTACTATGAGAGCGGTAAGAAGCAGGTGCTGCACGCTGCTCCATCAGCTCCCCTGGCTCTAGACTCTCGCTGTTGTCCGCGGGCACCGGTGCCTGCAGGTGTGAGTAGCGTGCGTGTGGGAGGTTGGAAGGATTGGGGCTGATGAGGGGAAGACATGCCCAGGCCAGGCAGCAGCACCTGACCGGCTTCATTGGGTGGGGCTGGGACATCTGTGAGGGGAGCCCTTCCCAGAGGGAGGCCATGCAGAACGAGGCTGCGGCCGGGGGCCACCATCCAGAGGGGATGTCCCAGGAAGAGGGGCTCACGTGTCCAGGTGACGTCACCCAGCAGCACAGCTCCCAGCCCTGCCCTGTCAGTAGGCCGCAGCTGCCAGTGAGGTTTCACCAGGTACCCCAAGCCAGCAGGCTCCAAGTGGCTAACACTCGGCTTGTTTGGTCCATTTGAAAAACAGCTGAACGGGTGAAAATTAGAGTTTGGCTCTGGCCAGCATTTGAGCTGCTAGGTCTCAGCCTGCCGCACAGAGAGGTAAGCCACCGTGGGGCCAGCACACGGGGCCACGTGGGGCTCCTCCACCAGCCCCGCTCCCCGCCACCTCCTGGGCCCCTGGGCAGCCTTCTCCACCAGAGGAGCTCTGCTCCCACCAGCAGTGCTGTGTCCGCGCGAGTCCTCGCGGGAAAGATGGCCCCAGGACTAGCTCGGGACGTGCTGTCAGCCATCTGCAGTTTGAAGTGCATGTTTTTGGACCCCTGTTTTGGGTTACGTATTCTTGCCTTCCATAGTTGATGAGAAGTTAGCTAACGCATTCAGTACCACTTGTTAAGGCAAACGTGGCAGATGGCACGTTTCTTCCTGGATCTGGAAGCATTTTGCTCCACCCTCATGTTAATTGATCCCCATGTGTGACTGCACATGTGTGTTACAGGGTGCAGGTCACCCCACAGCCGAGGGCATTGCCAGGTCTTGTATGGGCTGAGTGGCAGAGGGTGCTGTGCTTTGAGGAGCCTGGGGGCCATGTCATAAGTGGGCTGTGGCCCCAAGAGGATGAGGGTATTGAGTAGAAGAGATCAAGAGGTAGATTGAAGCCAATATAAAGAACTTTCCAGTAATTATCCCACGGGGGGATGAGGAACCTTGTGGGGCACAGGTGGCTGGTCCTGGGGTTGTTAATGGGAGGCATCTGGCAGGAGCTCTGTGGGGTCCATAGAATGAGAGTGCACTAACGTACAGAGGACCAGTGCCAGAAAAGGATCAGGGCATGGCCGACTGAGCCGGGGGTACACCAGGATGTGGGGCCCACAGAAGCAGGGGACACCGGTTCCCGTCTGGGCCCCTGTGGAGTGCTCCATGGAAGCCTCGCAGTCCTGTTCGCCGTGTTCGTCCTGCGTTTCCTCACTGTGAGGTTTGCAGTAGCAGACTAGACAGAGCTAGTGTCCGCTGTGACGTGTCCCGGGGGCACCGCGGCTGTGAAAGCAGCGGTGCTCCCTGGGGGCTGCTGTGGCAGATGCTCGCGGGTCATACCCAGTGCCAAGGCCAAATGCAGGGGATCCGAGTATCTGGGGTGCCGCCTTCCATGGAAAAGCAGAGGGAAACCAAGGCCGTGCTCGCATTTGCATGCACACGCACCGTAAACAAGCTCCGGGAGAACACCCTGCACACCGACAGGAGTGGCCGTGGGTGGGGAAGAGGCTGGGAAGGTGGTCCGCGCAGGTGTGGAGGTGGCTCCTTCCCCGACCCTCAAAGGTGGGCTGGTTTTCACGTTTCTGAAACACGTGAGCGCATCTGCCCATGCACGAGTTAAATCTAAGAGCATTACACGCGATTGGCTGTCATTTGAAATGAAAGAGCACCCTGAGCCTGTGGCCACCCAGGCCACAGCGCCACCTGCCGTCTTGGGCGTTTCTCAGGGTTTCGCCCGGTGGTCACCAGTGCGCCCGCCTGTGGGTGGGTGCTGGGAGCCGCAGGAGGGCTCCTCCGAAGACGGCCTCCTGGTGTCCTTGAGGCGCGTCGCTGCTCGACCGCTGTCGTTTCCGTGGACCACGTCGGAATCCATCGTCTGTTTGTCCCTCGTGGCCTTTTTGCAACCACGTTCTTGCCACATGTAAATAAGTAGAGCGGATTTACTGACCCAAACGCTGGCCCCTTCTTTCACAAATAGTTTCCTTCTTCATGGCCCCGTCACAGAATGTTGCAAGATTCTTCAAGAGATAGCTGAAAAGAAATGAAAAGGAAAAAAAATAGTAGTTGTATTTACTGGAAGTGGAGGGAAGGCCCTGCCGTCTGCCCTGTCGCTCTTCCGTGCCGTTCTGGAAAGAGCAGGGTCTGGGCTGTCCCGCTCTGCTGGTTCCCGGAATCCTCCTGAGGCTCGTTCAGCCTCTTCAGTGGAAGTCCTGCCGCCCTCCTCTCAGGCTTGGCCAAACAGGCCCCTTTTCACGGGGATTTGACGCGGTCGAGTGAACGATTTTCTGGGTGTGTGAGAGCTGAGGTCTGGTTCTCAGAGGTGTCCCCCTGACATTTATTACACACCTGCCGTGTGCCCTGTCATAGTCAGCCAGTGGCATATGAATTAGCTCCTTTAACTCTTGTCATATAAGGAGTAAAAAAGGCCATAAAAACACAAGAACATGCAGACTGACCAAAAACCCCGACACCCTGGAGAAAGCCCACCACATGTCTGATGGGTTTCTCTGGTGAGGTGAGCACAGTGCACGGAGCCTGCATCAGCCGGTGCCCCGTCTGCATCCTTGGGGCTGGGATGGCCCAGTGTGAGGAGGGAGCAGAAGTCAGAGCTCGCAGCCTTACCTTGGATGGTGAATGACTGGGAAGACCACCGGGTTTTCAGAGCCCACCTCTGAGAGGACTGCACATGGAGCTAAGGCACGTGCCGGTGCTCCGTGCTTTCTAACTGCACACTGAGTTCCCCAGCAGGGCTTCAAGCCTCTCCAGTGTGAACCAGCTCTCGGGAAAGCTGTTATTTTAAAAAATGCTGCCAGGATCCAGCTTTTAAATGCTTAGATTTTACAGCTCCTGGAAAAGTTATTTGTAACCAGAAAAATAAAGTAGAAATTGGGTCCTTTGGATACCAGTTCTCATAATCTGGCCTCTCATTGTCACGCCTCTGCTTTCTTTTGTGTGTGTGTGTGTGTGTGTGTGTGAGTGTGTGAGGAAGGTTGGCCCTGAGCTAACATCTGTTGCCAATCTTCCTCTTTTCTCTTGAAGAAGATTGTTGCTGAGCTAACATCTATGCTGGTCTTCTTCTATTTTGTATGTGGCACGCCACCATAGCGTGGCTTCATGAGCGGTGTGTAGGTCAATGTCTGTGATCTGAACCCATGAACCGTGTGCCACCAAAGCGGAGCATGTGAACTTAACCACTACACCACCAGGCCAGCCTCGGCACCTCTGCTTTCTTATTTCTGGGACATGTTTTGGTGAAAACAGAACTACAGGGGTTGGCCCGTGGCCGAGTGGTTGAGTTCGCGTGCTCTGCTGCAGGCGGCCCAGTGTTTCGTTGGTTCGAATCCTGGGCGCAGACATGGCACTGCTCATCAAACCACGCTGAGGCAGCGTCCCACTAGAAGGACCCACAACGAAGAATATACAACTATGTACCGAGGGGCTTTGGGGAGAAAAAGGAAAAAAATAAAATCTTTAAAAAAAAACAAACAAAACAGAACTACAACTCTCTTTTGGGGGCCGAGCCGTTCACCTGCTGTCCAGTGAAGTAAATGCGGAGAAGCAAGCTCTCTGGGGCCCCACCTGCTGCTCCTGCTCTCCCTCTGCTGGAGGGTCAGGTCTGGGGCTGTGTCAGGACCCGGCACACTGCAAATGAAAGGCTGTGCACTTTGCATGGTTTTGAAGAGCAAAGCCCTGTTCAAAGGAACACGATGAAACTAGACTTAAATTGATCTTCTTATCAAGGTGTTTTGAAAACCATGAATGGAGTTTAATGTCCACATGAATCTAAAATGGTGTCTCCTGAGACCTCTGTTAGGAAGACTTTGTAGGAAGATTTCTGAGTGGTTAAGACCCCTTCTTAACTCCTGGTAATTATTTGGTAATACACTTATTGCTCTCCTAAATTGTTTTTCTTACAGTAAGCTCTCTTCCAAAATGAGGCTTTTAGCATGGGTGCTGGCTGGCTAGTTAGATTTTTAAAAATAAGAATTAAGGCATTTTCTCTGGAAAAATAAGTATAAATGTCCCTTGGAATTTACCACCATATAGATAAACAACAACATTTAGGTAACTAGCTGCTTTTTTTTTAATCCTCTGTGGCACTAGTTTCATAAAGTCAAAGGAAAGAGCCATTACGGGTCTGAGCTGGAACCGCCAACCCTGGCTTGCACATTTGCCAGTAAAATGAAGGCTCCTGGAAACTTCTGGGGTCCTTCAAACTGTGGGAAGATGTGGTCTTAGAGTCACCTGTCTCCTGGGAGCTCTGCGCTGAGTGCGAGGAGCGTCCTGTGGCGGGTGCTCACGAGCTGGCGGCCTCACTCGGCCTCACCTCTGTGTTGCCACGCATGTCGCTGACAGGACTCCAAGGCCTTTCTCCGTGTCTCATGTCCGTAGCCTGGACACCCTCACACCAGCTCCGGGGCCCCCGACTCCCTGGGTTTGAGTCCTGGCTCCTGCGCTCCTGGTGCTGCGTAAATGGGAGTGTGGTGGTGCCTCTCACTGTCCAGCAAGTAGCGGAGTGTAAGCTGCTGGGGACGCACTGGCCTGTCGGAAGGTTCTAGATGTCACAGCTGAGTTCTCCCTGATAAGTGAGAAAATGCTTCTCAGTAATTGACCTACTTGGATATCCTCGAAATAGAGTTGTCGGAGTAAGTACCAAGAGGGGTGTGTGTGTGAGAAAACATACAGACATATAATTAATCTGTGCCGACTCTCAGTCCAAAACGTCCTCTGTGCCGCGCCTGCCTGTTGCCTCAGCTTCCACTAAAATGTTTGCAGCTGCCTGTGCACGTTCTCGTACCTTGTTCTTTTCCGTCACAACTGAAGCCACAGGTGACCAGCCACCTGAATGCGCTGCCTTCAGAGTCGCTGCCTCCGCGTGCTCCGTGGCTGCACTCGCCTCCCAGGGCTGTCGTAACGAGAGCCACGGGCAGGAGGCTTAGAGGAACAGAGATTCGTCCTCTGAGTTCTGGAGGCCAGAGCTCCAAAATCGGGTCGGCAGGGTCGGTTCCCCTGGAGCTCTGAGGGCGGATCTGTCCCAGGCCTCCTGCAGCTCTGGTGGCTCCAGCACCCTTGGTGTCCATGGCCTCTTTCATCCCATGGCCTTCTCCCCATGTCCGTGTCCAAACTTCCATCATCTTTGAAGGACACCTGTCACAGGACTAGGCCCACCATGATCCCGTACGACCTCCTCTTAACTCGTCAGCTAGGGCCCCCCACGGTCCCATATGACCTCTCCTTAACTCGTCACATCTGCCAAGACCTTATTTCCAAGCGAGGCCACGTGTAGGTCCCTGGGGTTAGGACTTCAACATCTCTTTTTGGGGGACGCAGTTCAACCTACAATACTGGTATTAGTCTTTGTCTTAGTTGTATTAACTGTTTCATTTGGTTATATATTTGTATTTTTATAAAATAAGAGAAAGTATAACAAAACACTTGAATTGTGAAAAAACAAAGATCTGAAGCAATGGCTTGTTCGAGGATTCCCAAGTGACCCGGGTCGTGCGTGACAGAACGTGCCGCCCTTGCTCTCTGGCAATGAGCTCACGACTCCTTCCCTCTGCAGGAAACTCCCAGTACAGCCAGCAGCAGGCGGGGTACCAGCAGGGCGCGGCGCAGCAGCAGACCTACCCCCAGCAGCAGTACCCCAGCCAGCAGGGCTACCCTGGGCAGCAGCAAGGATACGGTAAGGGCCCGCAGACCCCGCGCACCGTGGCGCTGTCGTGCAGCACGTAAGGCACTTGTGATTTTGGAGTAGTTTTAGATTTCCAGAAAAGCCGAGAGGGCAGTACAGACAGCTCCCCTGTTGTTAACCTCGTCCGTCGCTGTGGGACAATTGTCACAGTTCAGAAGCCAACACTGGGGCAGGCCGAGTGGTTAAGTTTGCGTGCTCCACTTTGGTGGCCCTGGGTTCACCTGTTCTGATCCTGGGCGCGGACATGGCACCACTCATCAGGCCATGCTGAGGCGGCCTCCCACACAGAGAAACTAGAATGACTTACAACTAGGATATACAACTATGTGCTGGGGCTTCAGGGAAACCAACAAGAGGGGAAGATTGGCAACAGATGTTAGCTCAGGACCAATCTTCTTGTAAAGAAGAGGAAAAAAAAAAAGAAACCAACGCTATACATTGCTGTGGTCTGAATTCAGTTTATTGAGGTCTCACTAGTTTTCCCCAAATGTCCTTTCCTCTCCCCAGCCCTGTCTGGGATCCTGCATGACATTTGGTCTCACATCTCCTTAGGCTCCCCTGGGCTGTGGCAGCTTCCTGGAAGTCCGTGTCTGTCTTGACCTTGACAGTTGGGAGGAGGGCCAGGCAGAGACTTTGTAGGGCGTCCCTCAGGTTGTGTTTGTCTCATGTTCTTCCTGGGGTGACGCTGGGTTTTGGAAAGAAGACCACAGAGTGAATCGCCCTTCTCGTCACCTTGTGTCACATGACTTGCCTCTGGTGTTGACCTCGGACACTTGGGCAGGGGGGCACCTGCCAGCTCTCCCCACTGTCGAGTCACCTTCCCCGTTCTTTTTTATCTTTAAAGATTTTATTTTTTTCCTTTTTCTCCCCAAAACCCCCCGGTACCTAGTTGTATATTCTTCGTTGTGGGTCCTTCTAGTTGTGGCATGTGGGACACTGCCTCAGCATGGTTTGATGAGCAGTGCTGTGTCTGTGCCCAGGATTCGAACCAACGAAACACTGGGCCGCCTGCAGCGGAGCACACGAACTTAACCACTGGGCCGGAGCCAGCCCCGCCTTCCCCCTTCTTTAATCTTCGGGAAGGCGCCACTGAATCCAGCCCACACTCGGGGCCGGGGGGGAGGTATCTACATAGACTGGAATTCTTCTGTAGGGAAGATCTGTCTCTTCTCCCCCTTTTATTTAGTTATTAATCATTTATTTATAGGAGTGTGTACTCATGGGTATTAATTTTATACATTGGATTCTAATCCAATATGAATTTATTTTGTTTTTCAAATTGTCCCGGCTTTGCCTCTTGGGAGCTCTTTCACTTGGCTCCTGTGTCCCTCCGACACACCCCCGTCCTTTTGTTTTTGAGCATTTCCTTATTTTCTGGGACCACAGTCTTTTCTCTGCCCGAGCCCTAGAAGCACCACTTCTCCAAGGAGCCCCGGTTCCTTTTATTGGAGAGTGAGCATATTAGAAACCGAGATCTGGGTGCAGGTGAGTATTTTCTGAGCCCAGTTTTACTTTACTTTGACCTGAGACTGTCCACGTGTGGGTCAGTCTGGCAGCAACGTCCAGAAGTGCTCACCCATCCGTCAGCTTTTGTTCACCCTGTGAGGATTGGCTAAAGTGAAGGGCCCAGCGGGTCTGCCATAGACCCAGCCTGTCAACAAGCATTGCTCTCAGGGCCCCTCGGACATCCCCCACGTGGGCATCCCAGGGGGAGCTTTGCAAGCATCGGTGGCAACAAAGGGAGAAATCCTGTCCGCTAGAGAAGATTAGCCAGCTGCAGACTCAGGCTTGCTGAGGTCGGGCTGCCCCCGCAGCGCAGAAGGCCCTGCCAGGATTGGAACCCTCGGATCTGCCCTGTCCTCTGGGGCCCTCGTCCCCCTGGGCAGGTCTCCCTGAGAGGGCGGGGCCCCAGCCCCTGGCCTGCAGGTTGTCTGCTGAGAGCCCAAGGCCCAGGCGGCTCTCCCCGAGTCCTGACCCACTCCGGAGACGACCCTAGGTGGCACTTCCAGGACCCAGGGTGCTTTCTGTGACACTGCTGTCACCCTGGGATGGCCTCACAAACTGTTACCATTTAAGATACCCAGTAAAAGGCGTCCTACCTGATGCGACCTGAACGAAGAGGCGATTAGGTTGTCCCAAGGGTGCGTGCAGCAAGGAGGCTGAAACCCATCCGTCCAGGCCTGGGACATCTCATTTTAACTTAAACACGAGCCTGCGTTCACCGCCCACCTGGAGCCAGGCTTCACCCTTCCACAAACCGCACACCCCTCGAAGTGCCCTGTCCAGCTTCGGCCTCCGAGGAAGCTCGTCCAAGCGTGTGGGTCTCTGCCTTCACTGTACCTCAGAACCACCTGGAAGCTTTTGAAAAGTAAGGTGCCAGGTGGGCCCACACATGACGGGGAGGTGGGGGTGGGTTTCTTATTAAGCTCACAGGTGATTCTGATACACAGTAAAGAAGGAAGACCACAAAGATTTTGTTCAACCTTTTACAACCATGACTAATTAAATAGCATTTTTTTTTTAAAGATTTTATTTTTTTCCTTTTTCTCCCCAAAGCCCCCTGGTACATAGTTGTATATTCTTAGTTGTGGGTCCTTCTAGTTGTGGCATGTGGGATGCCGCCTCAGCATGGTTTGATGAGCAGTGCCATGTCCGCGCCCAGGATTCGAACGGACGAGACACTGGGCCGCCTGCAGCGGAGCACGAGAACTCAACCACTCGGCCACGGGGCCGGCCCCTTAAATAGCATTTTTTGAAAAATTCCTCGGCTTTTAGCAATTCTTTTCCAAGCCTCCAGCTTTGTTTTCATAGGAATGATCACTGTCTCTCTTCGGCATTCGAGTTTTCACCAGTCGCTGTGACGTTTAACTCAGGTGTTGACAGCGCCCACTGTAACTGACGTAAACTGCTTCCAGGAAGCAGGCTCAGAGGTGCTGGAGGGCCGCCTCGAGCCTGGCGCGGTCGGGGTGCCGGCATGGCCTGCAGCCACACAGGACGGAGGTGGCAGTCGCTCGTGGTACTCGGTTGAGCACTTTCGCTGTACGGATTTCATGTTGCGGAAGAACAGGTGCTGTTGTTTCGGAGACTTGAGAGGATGGGGGCGTGTTGTGTTGGTCTCACGGTGCCTGCTGTGTGTTCTCAGGGCCTGCCCAGGGAGCCCCCTCCCAGTACTCCAGCTACCAGCAAGGACAGAGCCAGCAGTATGGAAGCTACAGAGCGTCTCAGACGGGCCCATCCGCCCAGCAGCAGCGGCCTTACGGCTATGAGCAGGCAAGCTTTCTGGATGTTTCCAGATGCGCTGACCTGCCATGTCTGTTGAAACATAATGACGGTTTCTCTGATGGTCACGAGGAATAATGAGATGAAATAATTGGCTTCCAGGGTCCCTTCCAGAATGCTAATTCTCTGAGCCTGTAAAGTTTTTAAAAATTATCTCCACGTATCTTCTCACCTTGGTCAGACACAGCTGGCTGAGTGACTCTTCATTGGATCAGATGATCGACTCAGTGGCCCAGGGACCCCTCCCATCCTGCGGCCTGGCTGGACACGTTTTTTAATTCTGTCTTGAGATTTGTATTGCCTACAGTTTATTACCTTGTCATCCCCCACGTGGGCAGTGACGCGAAGCCGTCAGCCTGTGTTGCATCTAACCCTGTTGTCAACCAGTCACCTCTGGGAGCTCGGTCCCCTGGGGGGACTGACGGGGTGGGGGTGGTCGTGGGCCTCGCAGACCCTCTGATCTAAATCACCAGCCACAAGCTTGGACAGATGGCTTTCAGAAAGCCAGTGACCTCCTGCTGTGTAGATGTGGTTGGAGGCTGTTTGCTTGCTTGCTTTTTATGCCCCTTCCAGCTCTTAGCCTGCGTGTTGGCCGGGGGTGGGGGTATGTCTTACCTTTGGGTGTGGACCCCTTTATCGTGACTGTCGAGGTATAATCTGTGTCTTGGTCTCTTGCAGGGCCAGTATGGAAATTACCAGCAGTAAGGGACAAGCATTCTTCTTGGAGCCTTGTGGTGGCCCGTCCATCCAGGGGTGGATGGGCCGGTGGCAGTTCTCATGAACTGTAACCCGTTGGTTGCCCCTCGTCCCACGCAGTGTCTGCACGTAAAGCGTGCACATGGCATGCTGGGTGTGATGCTGAGCGTGCACTGCTGGCGGGAGACAGCGCTTTGATGGTGTGACATATTTGGTGCTGTGTATAGTATTGTATGTCCATACAATGGAGAGCTTGTCCCTTTTTTGTCCCCCTGTTGATGTTTCTAGCTAACTTTAGGGGTTCTTTGGTCATCAGAGTGTTCTGTGCCCAGTGATGGGGCATATCTACAAGACGCCATTGTCCGTGTATTCATACAAACAGACCTTAGGTCTGACTCTCCTCGTGCAGTTGTAACGTGGGTCGTAACTTTATCTTTCACTGGCTACATCGCAGCTGGACCTGCGCGCACAGCCCCAGAGCGGCGGCCTTTCCTGGGCTCGATGGGGCTCTGGGAGGCATCTTCTGTGGTGCAGGTCAGTTTCTGTTACACACTGGAAAGGAAAAATGTGCTTCATTGGGAACGGCTGTGAACCGTCATTTCTGGAGCTCGCTCGTTGCCTGTGTTGCTCACCAGTTCTGTTTATCCAAAAGGTTGTGTGATTTTGTATTAAAAAGTAAAGAGGGATCAATGACTATGTTCCAAATAGGTATGAACCCAAGAAGGCAGTGTGATGAGCCTGACCCGGGAGAGCGGCACGACTGCGGGAAGGAGAGGGGGGCCTCTGAAATTGCTATGGCTTTGGCCCTGGTATATCTGACAGTCATTTCTGGGATCTGAATATTTAATGTGCCCAATTCGAAATTTATAATTTAAAATATTGTCCACATACTTGTCCAATACCAAATTGTCCAAACAGGACCTTTTGTTTATATTCTTTCTTCTAGTACCTATGTGTTCGGGATTCCAAGCAAGTGTTCCTTTTCTTTTAGGGACATCTGAAATTCACATCTCATTTTTGAAAAGGACCCCACTAACTTTACTGTGTTCTTCCTAATGAAAAGGAAAGGTTTTATATAGAGATTTGAATAATTTTTACATTCCTAGGACATTAAATCCCATTTAAATTCTGTGCAAACATTAAAGACAGCTCACTTGGAAAAGTACGGTCCAAGGAAAAATCCTACATTTCACCAATAAGTAATATGGACATTTTATCAACCTTGGATAATAATATCCATATTTACTATGAATCCTTTAAAAACATCTCTGGATAAATGGTGGCATATTTCCAAGACCAACCGAGAACATACAAAAAATATCCAATTCTTGATATATCAGGTCTACTGAAGATTATATATTTGTTTTGTTTAAAAAATTTAAAGTTCTTTATCCAGTGTTGAATGCTGTACAGTTTACAAGGCATTTTAATGGTTTTTTTTTTTTTTTTTTTTTTCTTAAATGAGTCCTAACAATCCACCCTGAGAAATTGGAGGCAAGTACTGTTCCCTTGTTACAGAGGAAGAACCGGGGCTCAGGCTGGAGGGCTGCCAGTTGAGGGCAGTCTCCCCTCTTCTGTGGAGACAGTCACACACACACTGGATAAAAGCATTTATTTTCTAAGCGTATGGGTTTTAAAAACCTTAACACTGGTAAAAGCTTAAAAATACCTATCTATATTAAATTACTGCGATGAGAGTTGTTAGTTGCTGAATGACACACAGTAGCAATTTCATTTAGGGAGTTGTCGCCCTTGGTTTTGTTCTCTTCTGTCCTGACAATTTCCATAAAACTAATTGCAAACTCATTCGGGGACTAAAATTTCCCACTGAAAACGTTAAACATTTTAGGTCACTGTGACAATGGTTGATTTTTATCCCTTGCCAGTCTGGGAATATTCCTTTTATGTGTTTTTTTTTAAGTGCTGTATCAATACTTTTCGAAAAAAAGGACACTTAAAAAACTTATCCCGAAACTTCAATCTGAAATGTCTTACATTAAGAATTTCTTGAATGTTGTGTATATATTTTAAAAAGCACTTTGTGAAATAGTTTGTACATTGATTTCCTAATTTATACATGATTTTTGGTGTTAATATATTTAATGATCGATAACAGAATGTTTATTTAATGTTGTCCATTTTTCTGTAATATTGTGGGGAAGAAGTGATGCCAACAGTCCTTTTTCACTAACTGTATTATATGTGCTCTTCTGTGATATGAATGTTTGCAGAAGCTTAGGCGAAAACGAATTGTTTGTGCAGTGTGGTGGGTGGCGCTTTGTTTTTATGACCACTTCTACAGAAGTCCAGTAAAGAGGCAAAGGAAGACTTGGAAATAGACGCTCAGCCTTCTTCCTATTGTCCCCGACACCCAGCAGGTTGTGAATCTGAAAAACGATGACCACAATTTTCAGAAGTGCTGACAAGTTCATATTGGTATGCGAAAGCTCATCACCCATTAGGGTTTATTGTTGAACCAACGGTATCTGTGGACTCAGCTGTTAAAAGTACTTAGAACTCACACTGAGAGTGAGAATGGATGGCGTTGAGACGGACAAGGTCTCCAGGACCTCGAGGGGAGCCTTAATATGCTCTTGCAGTTGGAGCCTAAGTGAGCCCCTGATTTTATCAGAGGTTTTGTGTATATAGGTCTGAATATCGGGCATCCATTCAAAGTTGCACAAAGAGGAAGACTGTTTCCGTTTCCGTTTGAAATGTTTGAGTCAAACTTCATTTCTATTTATTGAACAGGTCAAATTTGTCTTATTTGTGAGCACAGTACATTTTTTGAAAAACATCTTTATTGGTTCATTTTTTTTTTAAGTCAGAGTTTGGCGTCTAAATTGTTTATGCTTTTGGTGTAATCTATTAATAAACTGGTTCTTCAGAAATCATCCTAAAAAGAGAGTTTTTGTGAAGTGAATGACACACAGCCTGATTTGTACTTGGACCCTGCTGGCTGGCCTGCAGGCGCCGTGGAGTCGGGTTGCAGGGAGCCTGATTCCTGGGCAGAGCGCAGCTGGTGGCGGGGGCCTGCGGGGGCTGTCCTGTGAGGACTGACGGCGACCCCGGCCTGGGACACTGTCGCAGTCACACCGTCGTGTCCCACGCGGACTCCCTCGGGCAGGACGCTGACCCCGGGACTGCCACACTGTCTCCTGTCCCACGCGGACTCCCTCGGACAGGACGCTGACCCCGGGACACTGCCACACTGTCCCCTGTCCCACGCGGACTCCCTCGGGCAGGACGCTGACCCCCACCCCGGGACACTGCCACACTGTCCCCTGTCCCACGCGGACTCCCTCGGGCAGGACGCTGACCCCCACCCCGGGACACTGCCACACTGTCCCCTGTCCCACGCGGACTCCCTCGGACAGGACGCTGACCCCGGGACTGCCACACTGTCCCCTGTCCCACGGGGACTCCCTCGGGCAGGACGCTGACCCCCACCCCGGGACACTGCCACACTGTCCCCTGTCCCACGCGGACTCCCTCGGGCAGGACGCTGACCCCCACCCCGGGACACTGCCACACTGTCCCCTGTCCCACGCGGACTCCCTCGGACAGGACGCTGACCCCGGGACTGCCACACTGTCCCCTGTCCCACGTGGACTCCCTCGGGCAGGACGCTGACCCCCACCCCGGGACACTGCCACACTGTCTCCTGTCCCACGCGGACTCCCTCGGACAGGACGCTGACCCCGGGACTGCCACACTGTCCCCTGTCCCACGTGGACTCCCTCGGGCAGGACGCTGACCCCCACCCCGGGACACTGCCACACTGTCCCCTGTCCCACGGGGACTCCCTCGGGCAGGACGCTGACCCCCACCCCGGGACACTGCCACACTGTCCCCTGTCCCACGCGGACTCCCTCGGGCGCCCCTCAGACGGCACCCCTGGGCGCGGACCCGCGGGGAGGCAGGAGGAGGGCTGGCGGAACCCGGGTCCTGAGGAGGCGGTGGACGGAGGCTGGAGCGGCCCCGCCGCCCGTCGCGCAGCCCGGCCCCGCGCTAGGTCTCTCCGTCTCGGCCTCAGCCCCGGCCCCCGCCCCCCGGAGGCGTCGTCAGCCCCCAGCCCCTCCCTCCAGAGAAGGCGCGCCCTCCCGGGGGCCAGCGGCACACCTCAGCCCGCGGCGGAGCCGGGACACTTTCTGCGCATGCGCGCTGGGGGTACCCTGCGCAGGCGCCGCCGGGACCGGTACCGGAAGTACTCCGCCCCGGGCGAGCCCGAGGTCCCGGAAGTGATGTGCCCCTGGAACAGGTTGAGTTAGGGAGTCGGGGCCGCGGCCTCGACGGACGGCCGAGGGGTGTCGGGTGCCTCTGCGGGGCTGAGCGTGCCGGGAGGAGGAGGGGCCCGGAAGCAGGCGGCAGCGGCGCCGACCGGGCGAGCCTGCGTCCTCCCGGTAGCGGGGGACGGGCGCTCGCCGGCTCCGCCGTGCGCGCTGCTCCGGGGGCCTCGGCGTGACCCGGGCGGTCCGCCATCGGGTGCCCGGCGGAACCTTCCCGGAGCCGGGGGCGGGGCGGCGTGCGCGCTCCACCCGGGGCGTGCGGGGAGTCCTGCGACCGCGGTCGGCGCGCGCGTTGCGCCCTTCCGCGGGCCCGCCTTCACGGTGGCGGGAGCGGCGGCAGTGAGCCGCGAGCGTGTGCGCCTTCTGAGCAGCGTCCCGCCGAGCAGAGAGCCCGTCGTCGGCGCAGCTTTCGGGAGCCGCGCTGCCCCGCGGCCGCGTCGCCGGCCTGGGGCGAGTGTGCTGCGCGAGGCCGGGTCGCTGTCGCTTCCGCTGCTGCTCTGCGTCTGTGGCTGCGGACCCCGGGGACCTTGTTCGCAGGCCCGTGGTGACAGTGCAGGCGTGTGCTTTTCGCCGCGTCCCTGGAGCGCGTCCTCCTTCTGAGAAGGAGAGGGCCCTTCGTCCAAGAGGAACGGGCGAGGAGAAGTGCTTTTAATGCAAGTTCGGTGTCGGGCAGATACGTTTTAGCAGAGAGCATGTGGGTAGTTAAGCAGCAGAAGATCGATTCCTTTGAAAGTACCCTTGCCCTGGTTCCCTCGGAAGGTCGTGGCGAGCAGGCCTCAGTTTGGAGACCCCGCGGTAGAGCACAGGTGCAGCCGTGTGCCCGAGGCCAGAGGACACTGTGACTTCGGGCAGGGGCCTTATCACCTCCCTGAGGCTCAGCCTCTGCTGCTTTTCGTAGACTTGAAAACCGGGAGGGCCAGGAGTCCGAGCCCTTATCGTGAGGGTGGTCTAAGGAGGGTTCGAAAGGCGCTGTGTAAAGGGGGCGCTAGGGAACCCACAGTGTTGGCCCTGTAACCTGGAGCTAGGGACGGTGGAGTTGCTTCTACCCCTAGACCCAGAGGATAAGGACAGGGGGCAGTTACCAGAACCAGAGGAGAGCAGTGTAGACAGGGCCTCCTTGACTGGAGGGGTGACCTTCCGTCTAGGGAACAGAGGAGAACGGGGACATCAGCATCCCGCCTGCCTGCTCCTGCCAGTCTCTGCCAGAGGGCAGGGTAGCCAAGGGTAGTCACGCAGGGCAGGCTTTTGAAATGGCTGGATGGAATGTGGGTCTAGAAAAGCAAACAGAAGACATCCAACCTGCGGCACTGCCCCCTCATAGGTTTGTAAGGAATACACTTAAAAATGTCTGTAGGAGGTTGTTAACCTAAAAATAAAGAGCCAGAATGCGAGGCTGAGAGGCGTTTATTTCCAGATCAAAGAAGTGCAGTTAGGGTAGAAACCCAAATAGTGTCCTGATTACAGGAGACGGCCTCAGGGTTTCCATGGGAAAAGAAAGGAAGGTGAGGTGAGTTGTGTTAAGGAAGCGTTCACTGGTCCTGGACGAGGTCAGGCGGGGTTTGTACTTCACAGATGGGCTTGAGCTTGGGCATCAGGCAAAAGGCTAGACTTGTACCCCATTGGCTGGTTATCGATCCGGTCATCAACAAAGTCTGGTTTCATCGGTCCTTACAAACAGGATATTCTTGTCTTTACTGACTTCTTGGAATGTTTGGTCCAGTTTGGAAGATAAAGGAAACAAGGTGTGCGAGGCAGTTCCTCTGAAATGGCTGCTCTCTTTTAATATGGCTCCACTCATGTCATCTTTCACAAGGTTTAGAAGAGGTTCCTGGCAAATAACAACACAGACCAGTAGAACTGAGCTTAACGACAAAGTAATATTGTCTAGAGTGGAGGGAGCCCTTGGCTGTGTATTGAGCGCCTGTCCAGCATTTTTAAAGCCCAGTCCTTTAATCATAAAGTCCGTCCAACTTCGGACCCTAGGCTCTCACCACTGTCTGGCCTTTTGTGCTCTGCTAAGCTGGGCCCGGTAAATGGATGCTCCTAGGAGGACTATGAGTTCACTTTTCTGAGTTCCCGCTGCACCCTATAGACCAGAGCTGTAATAGAACTTTCTGTAATGCTGAAAATTTTCTAATCTGTGCTGTGTAATATAGTGCCCACTGGCCACATGTGGCTGTGAGCACTTGAAAGGTGGGTTAAGTGACTGAGAAACTGAAGTTTTACATTTAAAGAATGTTGAATAATGTAAGTTTATGTTATATAATTACATGCTACATTATTTAAGAGCAAGTTAAACAATAACCACATGTGGCTGGTGGTTACCATATTGGACAGCACAGGTGGAGCATTGGAAGGAGAATAAAAACCAGATAGGTGTGTGAAACACGGTTGAATTTGTTTGCCGGGCAAGAGAGATCTGCATTGCTCAGGTGCGTGTTCAGGGGGTCTTTCCAAAGAAATTGAAAGGGCAGAAAGAGGAAGTCCTCCACATTAGGCAGAGTTCAGAGTTCAGAGTTCAGGTCTCTGGTTGGCTTTGCAGTTGATCCCCTTCTCTGCACTTGATCTCCTCCAGGTTGTGTGTCCCCACTGCCAACAAGCCCGGTTCCCATCGCCAGAGGGTGGATGGCATCACTCTCCAGCGGGCTTGGCCTTGGGTGTGCTTCTATGGATTGGTGAGTTGGTTTTTTCCCCTTTAACAACAAGTTTTCACACTCTGCTCCTACCCCTCCCATCTAATACCTCTGTGACCTTTCGTATTTCACTTCACCACTCTTTGCCTCAGTTTCCTCTTCTGGAAAGTGAAGATAACAAAAGTACTTTCTTTACAGAGTTGTTATAAGGACTAAGTGAGTGAATACTTGAAAAATACTTATCTTGCCAGGAGTGACATAGAGGTGTTAAATGTTTATTGTTTTTGTTTTTTGGGGGTTTTTTTAAAGATTTTATTTTTCCTTTTTCTCCCAAAGCCCCCCAGTACATAATTGTATGTTTTTGGTTGTGGGTCCTTCTAGTTGTGGCATGTGGGATGCCGCCTCAGCGTGGCCTGATGAGCGGTGCCACGTCCGCGCCCAGGATCTGAACTGACGAAACCCTGGACCGCTGAAGTGGAGCACAAACTTAACCACTCGGCCACAGGCCCAGCTCCTGGGCTGTCATTTTCTGTTTTTGTAAGGTCAGGGTTTGGTACTCAGGTTTCAGTGGCCTCATAATATGAGTTGAGTAATGACCGCACTTCTGTTTTCTGAAAAAGTTCATGTAGGATTGCTGTTATTTCTTCCTTGATTGTTTGATAGAATTTACCAGTAAAACAGTCTGAGTCTGGAGTCATCTTTTGAGGAATACTCTTTTGTAACAAGTTCGACTTCTTTAGTAGATACAGGGCTATTTGGATTTTCTGTTTCTTCTTGTGTTTCTTTGGTAAGTTGCGTTTTCAAGAAATTTGTCCATTTCACATAAGTTGTTAAAGTTTTTGGCAAAAACTTGTTCATGGTGTTCTCTTACCCTTTTAATGTCTATAGGATTTGTATTGATAACCTTTAAAATTCCTGACATTGATGATTTGTGTTCTCTTATTTTCTTGATCAGTCTGGCTAGAGGGTTGTCAATTCTGTTCGTCTTTTTAATGGGCCAGTTTTTTGGCTGTGGGATTTTTTCTATGGTCTGTCAGTTTTCTATTTTGTTAATTGCTGCTATTATTTCTTTTCTTCCACTTGCTTTGCTTTTCTGGCTTCTTGATTTGGAGCCTGAGGTCACTGATCTTGGATCTTTCTTCTTTACTGACAGAAGCACTTGGAGCTGTATGGGCCCCTGCTTTGCGGCTCTGCTTTGGCTGCACCCCGTAGGTTTGGTATGTTGTACTTTCATTATCATTCAGTTCAAAATATTTTCTGATTTCTCTTTTGATCTCGTTCTACCTATTGGATTATTTAGAAGAGTGTTGTTTCATTTCCAGATATTTGGGGTTTTCCTAGATATTTTCTGTTTATTGACTTCAATTCTGTTGTGGTTAGGGAATACACTCTATTTGATTTCTGTCCTTTGAAAGTTATTGAGATTTCTTTTATGACTCATGATGTGGTCTATCTTAGTGAACATTCCACGAGCACCTGACAATAATGTACGGTCTACAGTCGTCGGATGTACTGTTCTATAAATGTCAATTAGACCAATATTGTTGATAGTGTTTTCCAGGTTTTCTACATCTTTACAGTTTTTGATTGTTTTGTTTTCAAGTACTTGTTTTATTGCTTCCTGAGAGAATGGTATTAAAATGTCCTGCCGTCATTGTGGAATGGTCTGTTTCCCCCTTTCATTATGTCAAATTTTGCTTTATGTATTGGAAGCTCTTTTAGCCTCCTGCACACTCTTAGCTGTCAGGTGTTCCCGATGAACTATTCTTTTGTCCCTGGGAAGCATCTTTCTTCGTCTTAGGTAACGCTCTTTTCTGGAAGCGTCTTTCTTCGTCTTAGGTAACGCTCTTTTCTGGAAGCGTCTTTCTTCGTCTTAGGTAACGCTCTTTTCTGGAAGCGTCTTTCTTCGTCTTAGGTAACGCTCTTTTTCTGGAAGCGTCTTTCTTCGTCTTAGGTAACGCTCTTTTTCTGGAAGCGTCTTTCTTCGTCTTAGGTAACGCTCTTTTTCTGGAAGTGTGTTTTATCTGAGTTATGTGTACGGTTAGGTTTAGGTACACTGTTTTATTGTTGGTTTTCTGTTCGTCCCTCTTTTTTGTTCTGTTTCCCCTTTTCTTTTGAATTGTTGGGGCAGGTTGTAGCAGTCCATTTCATCTACCTGTTGGCCGTTTGGCCGCACCTCTGTGTGGTGTCTTAGCGGTTGCTCTGGAGGTTACACTGCGCATACCCAGCTTTTCACAGTCAGCTTAGAGTTAGGGCTGTGCCCCATCGCAGAGACATGGAAACCTTGGGGTCGTGCAGGTCCTTTTAATCCCCTCCCTTCTCTGCTTTTTATGTTTTCATGAGTTGTACCTCTGCGTGCATGGAAACCCACTGGACAATATTATAAATAAGTTTTTCTTTCTACAATCATACATATTTAAAAACTCTTACAAGGAAAAAGATAGTCTTTTATAAAAATTTACCATTTCTGTTGTTCTCTCTTCATTCCTAAAGATGTGGGTTTCATCTGGTGTCATTTTCCTTCACCTCAAGAACATTCTTGAACATTTCTTGTAGAGCAGGTATATTGGTGACCAAGACTCCTCGTTTTCCACCATCGAGCATATCTTATTTCACCTGCCTTCCTGAAGGATGTTTTCACTGGGTGTGTTGCTTGGTGGGCAATTCTTTTCTTTCAGCACTTTAAAAATACCATTCCAAGGAGGCTGGCCCCGTGGCCGAGTGGTTAAGTTTGCGCGCTCCACTGCAGGCGGCCCACTGTTTCATTGGTTCGAATCCTGGGCGCAGACATGGCACTGCTCATCAAACCACGCTGAGGCGGCGTCCCACGTGCCACAACTAGAAGGACCCACAACGAAGAATATACAACTATGTACTGGGGGGCTTTGGGGAGAAAAAGGAAAAAAATAAAATCTTAAAAAAAAAAAATAATACCATTCCAGGATGGCTTAATGCAGAGTGAGATCCTGGAACAGAAAAGGATATTCATGGGGAAACTGGTGAAATCTGAATGCCATCTGGGGTTTAATTAATAATAACGCACTAATGTTGGTTTCATGGTTTTGACACATGTACTTCAGTCACATAAAATGCTAATACAACGTTGGGGGGCTGGGTAAGAGGTGTATGGGAGCGTCTTTCACCTGTTCTGTGAATCGAAAATCATTCCAAAATAAAGGTTTATTTAAAAAATACATTTTGGGAAGATGACAAGAGGAGGGTGTCCTCATGGTGGGGCAGCCCAGCATGGGGAGGGGAGAGCACCTGTGTGGAGGGAGCGGGGATTTGGTTACTGTGGGCGCTGAGGAAATGAACAGATAAACAAATTGAGGATAGTGGAAGGCAGGATTCTGGCAGTCAGAGAATGGGGTTGCAAAGACAGACAGAATTAGACTGAACCTCGTGGTGTTGACGGGATTGGACACATACATGTGAACTCATGGTTTGCTGCAGATGCTGCTCCGTCGCTAGGGGTGGACGGGGGTAGCAGTGACTACAGATGTGTCGTCTTTTCCCCAGCACTGTGCACTGAGGGAATCTATGAGCAGGGGCACCACAGTAGCCGTGAGCAAGCCCAGCGTGTAGACGGGCTTCTAATGCCGTTCTCCACTGAAAGGAACCAGGGCTCTTGGAGTAAAGGCTGATTTCAGGGTTGGCCAGGGAAAGTTCTAGGTGAGCCTGGAATATTTTGTGCCAGGAAACAGGAAGTGCTCAAAGGTCGAAGGGCACATGTCAAAAGAACAGTGAAGCCAGCTTGATGGGCTTCCACTGGCCAAACTGGAGACAATTTGAGCATCAAAGTAAATGATAGTAAGAGAATGTAGCTCATTGAATAGAATAGGAAACCATGAGCCCATAGAAATGAATAAACGGAAAGTTTGTGAGAAAGGGGATACGCACACAGTTTCAGAGCATCTTCCCCGAGGTCCTCACTGACCACAGTGGGGAAGGAGCGCCCTGTCGGTAGGGACACTGGCCAGGGACCTCCGGGGCTGGAGCTCAGAGCGCGTGTCAGTAAGGGACCCAGGAAACCCAGGCCTGTGGGAGGGGCGGGTGAGGCTGCAGCACTCTGTGACATTCCTGCCAATGATGCATCGCCCAAGTCTCGTCACGAGGGGACGGCAGTCAGACAGAAATTGAGGACATGCTTCAGAACACCTGGGCTGTGACCTTGCAAGGGTCAAGGGCACGAGAGTGAAGGAAAGGTTGAGGAACGTCCCAGGCCTAAGGAGGCTGGAGAGAGACGACAGCGAAACGCAGCACGTGATTCTGAAGTGGGCCCTTTTGCCGTGGAAGACGCTGTTGGACAGTTAGCTAAACTTGGGAGGTGTGAGCCTGGTGGTCGTGCAGCGTGGTTTCAGAGGTGGCCCTGGTTCTGTGGGGGCTGCCCTTGCCCACAGGGCGCGTGCTGGAGTGTTCCGGGTGTAGGTGTCAGGGCCGCAGCTTGTGCTTGAGTGATTCAGGAAGGAGAAGTCCTTGATACCGTGCTCCAGCTTTTCAGAGAGTTTTTGTGTTGCTGAGAGAGTGAGTCCCACCAAGAAAGTGTGTGTTCTGCAGGAGGAGGGAGGGGTGTGAGTGGGAGGCGCGCTTGAGGGACTTCTGAGGAGAAGGCAGGTTCTGTTTCCTCACCTGCTGTGTCAGGCGCATGCTGGCTTTGTCATTATTTCTTAAACGATACGTGTACATTTATGTCTCCTTCTCTGTGTATCTTTCGTACTTAAAAATGGGAGGAAAGCCTCATGAGTTACCTTTTAGGTGGCACACGTGTGCCCGCAGAGCAGGGATGTCTGGGAGTGGTGGCCATTTGGTCTCGCAGTGAAGGGCAGGGGTGTCACTCCTGGAGGGCCAGCTCTGACACTTCTTTCCCTTGACCCTCGGCACCTGCAGGGTGCGTGGTAGTCGCAGGCTGTTTCATGAACGAGTAGTGGCATAAACAGCCCATAGTGAAATGTAGCTCACGCTTCTGAGTCCGCACGTGGACCGCTGTTGTGTGTGCACGTGAAGTAACTCTCCCCATCCTCCCAACCCTGTCCATTTTCAGATGAGGAGACAGAGGTTGCACACGTTGGTGAAAGTTCCTGGGCGACACTGGGGACGAGGGGCAGGGGTGGCAGTTTGTTTCCAGAGTCTGCATGCCCTCCACGTTTAATATTCTCACCATGTTCCAGCTTGGCCATTTTAAACTGCACAAGAGAACAAAATAGCATTTGAATAAATGGGTGTTTTTATTTTTAAGAAATTTTGATTTGAGACTTAGAGTTCCTTTTTAGTATTTTCGTTTAGCAGATATGGATGTCCTCCACGTTTTGAAAGTTTGCTGTATGCCACTTCGCTTTTACGAAAGCCCCATATCAGTATCTGTTTTCCTTAAGTGAAAGAAATCCAAAGAGGATTTTTGCTTTTACGATAGAAGGTGAAAAGCAAGAATAGCGTTTTCTCTTTCTGGCGTTTGGCTCACGAAAGGTCTCACAGGGACGCCTGTACTCCATGCGCCATGGAGGCGTCCATCCACTGTTGCAGGACATATAATGACCTAAGTCCTTTGCACACACATCTTGTCCCCGGGGAGTAAATAGGCTGACGAGGCAGATGAGCCTTCCTAACTTGGGGTGGAAAGTGGTGAATGACAAGAGTCATATTCCTCAGTTCATTTATTTGTTTCAAAAACATACACTGCGATTCCACCGTGTGCCAGGCACTGTTCTCTAGTTCCGGTGTGATGTTCTGGTTAAACCAGGTGTCTTACTTTGCCCATTTGACTTTTAGGGAGCCATGATTCCTTCGAGGCTTTTCTCAGCAAGACTGAGGTTGTTGGAGGGCATGGGGCGCTGGACTCCATCCACGCAAGCGGTCCTTGGGCCTGGCTGGCTCCTTCCACAGCATGCTTCTCCCCGGCTGCTCTCGGTCAGCTGTGCAGACGGTGCCAAGCATCAGGAACCCCGCAGAAAGAAACTGCTCTCTGAGAAGCAACTGGTGAGGCCCGTAAACCGAAGGAACTGCCTGCAGTGCCCTCTCACGAGGTAGAGGGCGCTCTTTGAGTTCTTATCCTTGTCTCTCTTTATCCTGATGGTGTCACTGGAGGGACGCTCAGAACATCCTGAGAGTGAGTAAGTGAGGTGAAGGCCTGTGTGCCTGATGTGTGCTGTCGTAAACGCTGCCCCGACCAGGCACGTAGCCCGGGTGCCCAGAGTGTTGACAGTGTTCTTCCCTTTGCCCGGAACGGGTGTGTGGTGCTTGTCGTTAGCCTGTGTGTCTGATGCCTGTAGCACGTAATTCTTAAGTATGTGTGAACATTTCTTAATTTAAAACATCTCAGGGGGAAATAGACCTTTAATTTTACAGTTCTTTAAGCCTTACAGGTTTTTTTATTTTCTGTTTATCAAAACCTTCTATTTAAAATATGAATGATCTTTAATTAAATTCAAAAAAATACGTGTTTATGACACACTTCATTTCCTCCTAAATGAGGGCTCCAGATAAACGTTGTTAGGCAAGCAGTGCTTCCTGTGGGAAGATGACTTGGGCAGTCTCTGTGCGCTGGGATGTCTCAGGCTTCCTCAGGGCTCGCTCTCCTCCCCAGACTGTGAGAACTGAGTCTCGGTTTATCTTCCTTACACTGCTCAGCACTTGTGTTTTTTTCCACCAAGTTGATTCTGATTATGCTGGCATACAGTGACATTGTACATTGAGTTTTTGAAATAGTAATTCATGATTTTTCCATGTGGTGGTGCCAGAGAATCTTAAAATATTTGTGTATTTTCTTAAAAAAAAAAGAAAAAGATCTGCTAATGGAGTAGTGGATGGAGATGCAGCTGCTGGGCCCCGGCGGAGAGCCCGTGTGCACAGCACGGCTGTCCCGGCGCCCGGGCCGCAGCGGGGGGCCCCTCAGGAGGACCACTGGGCTCCGGTGGCACGCGGTCCTGCGCCCTGGCACCTGGAGAGCCGACCTTCGTGAAGTGTGAGCGAATGTGTGTCAAATGCTAACCCAGCTGGTTCTAATTCTTTAGCTGGATTGTACCTCTGTTGGGCACCTGGAGAAAACCTTCTCTGACATAAGGGGCTCTGTCTGCATCACTCCCTTTAAAATTTGAGCCCTGTGCAGTCAGCCTGCAGAAAACGCCCTTTCTCCGCAGTTGGAAGCCTGATAGTGGACCCTGGACTCTAACTCACTTTGATTCTTGCATCCTAAGGAACTAGAACTTTCCCTCAGTAAAGACCTGTTATTTCAATAATGTGTTTCTATTTGAAGAAAGCTGGAAGGACACTTTATTTAAGGAATATTGTCTAAATCACCCTTGTTTCCTTTAGGTTGGAAACGTTGCATTTGTTGTCGAGCGTGTGTTCCACACTGACCGTCTTTTATGTCTGCGTGGTTCGCTCACCTTCGCCTACAGATAGCAGGGACTCGTGGGACCTGTTTCTTGTATTTGCATTTTAGGAGAGATTAGCAATGTTAAAATCATTAACTTTTCATTTTAAAGCCTGTTGTGTAGAAAAGTACATTTCAAAGGGCTGTTTGGTCCTTGAAGGGACTGCAGAGTTAATAACAACCCGGGCACACTGTGCTCTCTACAGAAAAGGCATTTTGTGGACCATCGCCGAGTGCTTGTCCGAGGGGGACGCGGAGGTGACGGGGTGAGCTGCTTCCACAGTGAGCCCCGGAAGGAGTTTGGAGGCCCCGATGGTGGCGACGGAGGCAACGGTGGCCACGTCATCCTGAGAGGCACGTGCCCGGGGAAGATGGCTGTGTCCACATGTCTTTGGGGCAGAAAGTTTCCACCTTCTTATCCTAACGGGAATTTAAATTCAAAAATTGATGTGTGGAAATCATTTTTATTAAATTATGTGGATGTTCACGTTTAAATCATACACCAAAACTCAACTTTGATAGTGTTTTTTCTTTAAATTTCAGGAACACAAAGATAGCTTAGGATCAGAGAGGCTCACAAGACAGTGCGATACGTGAGAGGGCACAGTCTGGCCACTGTCACAGTGAGTGCTGTGCTGTTGGTCACCTTCAAGTGCTCAGTAAACTGGTACTTAGCGAACATCCACACCATAATAGAGTAGCTGGTTATAAATTGATGATTGGCATTATGGGTAATTTTGAAGTTTTCAGAATAAGATTTTAGCTTTTACAAAAATCATGTTGTGTGGGGCTGCCCCAGTGGCATGGTGGTTAAATTCAGGCACTCTGGTTTGAAGGCCCGGGGTTCTCAGGGTCGGATCCCAGGCATGAACCTACACACTGCTTGTCAAGCCATGCTGTGGCAGCATCCCACATAAAATAGAGGAAGATGGGCACAGATGTTAGCTCAGGGCCAATCTTCCTCAGCAAAAAAAAAAAAAAAAAAAAAATCATGTTGCTAGTTTAGTAACTCCTGCAACTTCATTCCATATTTCCGTATGCTTTTTTTTTTTTAATGAGGAAGATTGGCCCTGAGCTAACATCTGTTGCTAGCTTCCTCTATTTTATATCTAGGTTGCTGCCACAGCATGGCTTGACGAGTGGTATGTAGGTCCGCGCCCAGGATCCAAACCTGCAAACCCTGGACCACCGAAGCTGAGTGTGCAAAAGTAACCACTACACCACTGGGCCAGCCCCTTCATGTGCATTCTTTTTTTTTTTTTAAAGATTGGCACCTGAGCTAACAACTGTTCCCAATCTTCCCCCCCCCACCCCCGAATCCCCCAGTACATAGTTGTCTATTTTAGTTGTGGGTCCTTCTAGTTGTGGCATGTGGGATGCTGCCTCAGCATGGCTTGATAAACGGTGCCATGTCCGCACCCAGGATCCAAACCAGGGAAACCTGGGCTGCCTAAGCGGAGTGCGTAAACTTAACCACTCGGCCACAGCGCCGGCCCCTCCATGTGCATCTTAATGTTCTTAAACTGAACAAAAGACAGCTAACAGTATGCAGGTGGGTCTGCTGCTAACACAAAGGAAGGTGAATTTCTTGCTCTCTTAGTTGACCAGCAAGTCAAGTCGCTGGCATCAGTCCTGTCGCGGTATCAGGGTTTTGATGGAGAAGACGGTGGCAGGAAAAACTGCTTTGGGCGAAACGGCGCTCTCCTCTACATCCGGGTAAGCTGAGGCTGAGAGCCTGCCCTGTCCCCCTTCTAGAACATCAGGCTCCTCAGGGCCTTGGTGTGGGCCAGAGGGGCCCCTCGCCTTGAAACGCACAGCCGTCCACCACGAAGCGGACCCGCGGACTGGGCCTGTCCTCATTCATACCATGTGCCTAGGTGGCCTGTCCAAAAATCATGAAATAATTATATTTCATTTATTTATTTATTTATTTTTAAGATTTTATTTTTTTTCCTTTTTCTCCCCAAAGCCCCCCGGTACATAGTTGTATATTCTTAGTTGTGGGTCCTTCTAGTTGTGGCATGTGGGACACCGCCTCAGCATGGTTTGATGAGCAGTGCCATGTCCGCGCCCAGGATTCGAACTGATGAAACACTGGGCCGCCTGCAGCGGAGCGCATGAACTTAACCACTCGGCCACGGGGCCGGCCCCAATAATTATATTTTGAAAAGACGGACCCCACAGGGTCCACTGTTCCTCTCGTCTCCAGACCCCAAGCCGCCCTCTGCACTGACCCTCTTGGGGCCTCTCCTCCGTGAGTGGAGTTGACTCTCCTTAGATTGTCTCCGCACTTTCCGGATACTTCAGTTCGCCCTCAGCGTTGAGAAACGCTGTTGGAAAAAGCTGTTTAGGTCGTTTGCAGGCAGTGTACCCAGCTGCATGGAATCCCTGTGAGGGCCGGGCCTCTCTGCTCCTGAGGAGCTCCACAAAGGGGGCTCTCGGCTGTGCCCCCCCACGCACCCCCCTTGAAAATTAGATAAATACACGAGGTCCAGTCTGCTCCCCTCTTGTCTCTCTCTAAGCCTATAAATGCGTTGTTGTTTTCCAGGTCCCCCTGGGCACTTTAGTGAAGGAGGGACACGAAGTTGTGGCGGACCTGTCGCACCCGGGTGATGAGTACGTCGCCGCTCTTGGGGGAGCAGGAGGGAAGGGCAACCGCTTTTTCCTGGCCAACGATAACCGCGCCCCTGTGACTTGTACCCCTGGACAGCCCGGTCAGGAGCGAGTCCTCTTCCTGGAGCTCAAGACAGTGGCCCACGCTGGGATGGTGGGTGTCACCTGAAGTCCCAGGCTGGAGGAGGTGGCATTTTACACACACTGATTACAGAAAACCTGCTGTCCCTGATGGTGAAACATGCCACAGGCTAGTCAGTCAGCGTCCTCTTGACCCCCAGGAGCCTGTGCTCCCACTTGTCGTTGATTCCCAGTCCTGAAACTTCCTGGTCTTGGTCAGTTACAGACTCCGAGATGATGATAGAGGGTCTTCTTTCTTCCAGGTGGGATTCCCCAACGCAGGCAAGTCCTCGCTCCTCCGGGCCATTTCAAACGCGAAACCCACCGTGGCTTCCTACCCATTCACTACCTTAAACCCCCACGTTGGGATTGTTCACTATGAAGACCACCAACAAATAGCAGGTAGAACTTCCAGAATTCTCTCAAAGGCTTAGGTTTAAATGATATAATTCAGAACATTAATTATGTAACAAACATAGCTTCCTGTCTAAAATGTAGCATTGTTTTTCCTAATTTAAAGCTTCGTGGCTCTCTATCCAAAGTAGGCTTTAGGCCTGCGTCCCACCCTGTCCCAGGCGTCCGTGAGCAACAGTGCAGGAATTTGAGTTTAAATTTCAAACCTAAGGAAATTACTCCTTCTCACGGTCTTCATTTCTCTTTCTTCCATGAGGAACTCGGCAGCCTCAGTCATGTAGACAGCATGTGATTTTAAAAGCTTTCCCTGTACCATTTTGAGAGAAGAAAACTTTTTTCCGGAAGATAATGTGCCCATTAAAAATAGTAAGCCTGCTGGTAATGTTATTTGTATAGCACTTTATATTACTGAGTACTCTATAATAATTTCTATTGGTAATCACATTATTAGTATATTACAGGAAGCCACTTTCCCATTTTTTTAATCACTTTTGAATCCAGAAAGACTGGAATGTGTTAAATATTCCTTATTAGATTGATCATCCTCATGCCTGTCACCCACATATTTCAAAGCATTTTGTGAACTGAAAGCTGCAGAGCCTTGGCTGGCAGTTGGCCTGAGGCGTCTCCAGGCAGTAAATTGAATGACTTCAGTTCCAAGGGGTTCCTTTAAGGAAGGTCTGAGAAGCAGGACATCAGGCCAGGCGGTAGGCCAGGCTCCCCACACCATGTGCTCTGTCTCCTGCAGTGGCCGACATCCCGGGCCTCGTGCGGGGCGCGCACCGGAACCGGGGCCTGGGCTGCGCCTTCCTCAGGCACGTCGAGCGCTGCCGCTTCCTCCTGTTCGTGGTGGATCTTTCGGTGCCAGAGCCCTGGACTCAGGTTGAGGACCTGAAATATGAGCTGGAGAAATACGAAGAAGGCCTGTCTGCGAGGCCCCACGCCATCGTCGCAAACAAGATTGATCTCCCTGAGGCGAGAGCCCGTCTGCCCGAGCTGCAGGCTCGCCTGGGCCAGAAGGCCATCGCTCTGTCGGCGGCGACCGGGGAGAACCTGGAGGAGCTGCTGCTGCGCCTGAAGGACCTCCATGAGGAGCACGTGGCCAACGAGCTGGCGCGCGGCCGGCAGCCGCTCAGGTGGTAGCGGTGCGCTGCTGCCCAGCAAAGACCTGACTCGGCGCCAAGAACGCAGCTTCCGCAGAGCTGGAGGTGTTCGTGCACCTGCCCTCCCCAGTCATCCCGGGCCCCCCCTCTGATGCGCCCCCTGCTCCTGGGGCCCCTTCAGTGGCGGACACTCGTGCCACCTGACAGTCTGCTCCCCAGTGCTTCCCACCCCCCGCAGCGGCATGCTGTTGCTGAGATGGGCTCGTTTGTGTGCATGAGTGCCCCTAGTTAGCAGGGCCCACGCTGCTGGCTGGCGTTATCAGATGCTGCGGAGCGTGCTCAGAGGACACATGGCAGCCGGCGCCCCAGGTGTGCTCTCGGGCTCCTGGGCACTAACCCACCCATGTCTGCGGCTGTCGCAGAGGTAGGCTCCGATCCAGAGCTGTCGCCACCCTGCAGAGCGGCTGTTCCTGTGGGGACGTGCTGTGCTGCGGGAGGGTGAGGGGACAGGAAGGCTTTGCAGGCACCGAGCCATGGAAGGATGCCGGTGCAAAGCTCCTCTGGGTGCGTTGCCGCCGTCAGGAAGGCGGTGAGGGCCGTGCCCCCTGTTCCAGACGCCGCGCCCTGCTCCCTCGGAGCCGAGGGCCGGGGGAGAGCCACGCCATTCGCGTCACGGCTGAGTGCACCCAATATCCAACCCCAGGATGCGCTGCCTGCCTCAGTCTGTGTGCAAGGGCGTTAGTAACTATGGCGGCGGGGCCCAGGTAGCTGTCCCCCACAGGTGGCCCGAGTGTAGAGAGAAAATGGCGGCGACATCTCCCGGGCGGCGGGCTGGATCTCCCCTCTCCTCCCGGTGGCAATCTGAGAGCACACGGGCCCTGGGCCAGCCTCTTACCATCCTGGCTGGCCCCTGGCAGTCAGTTCAGAGAGCCCTGTGGGACCGACTCCAGCACTCCTCAGGGGATGGCAGCCAGAGGACTGCCGTGCTGGGGAAGCCACCTCTTCGCTGTCATGTGGCTCAAGTCTTTGTGCTCAAGTGTTCCTTGGGAGCCGCACCCCCGCTCCTGGCATCCAGTGGCTGCAGATGGACCCCGTGAGGACAGCTCCACTGCTGCCAACTGGCTCATCCAACAAAATACTGTAGAACTTTGGTATCCCGCAAATAAAGGCTGATGCCTCTGACACGTCCCTGAGGGCCCTTAAGGGATGAAGTGGTCCCCAGGAGAAGGCCCTGGGCCCTTGGGGATCAGCCATGGGGTCCTGGGGTGGCCTGCCTGCTGGTGCGCTCAGGTTTCCTTTCTGCACGCGGGTCTGGGCGGAGCACAAGCCAGGCCCGAGCTTCGGGGAGCAGTTCAGTTCTGATCTCACTTCAAGTCTGCGGCTAGACTGGGAGTCCGTCCCTGAAGCTTTGTCCTAATGTCTCGGAGTCTAAGAGGCCCTTGCATCCTGGAACCAGAGGTGGGTCCTGCGTCCGTTGGCTCGCTCTTGGGCCACCCACTGTGTTCGTAGAGTAACGCCGGGTCTGAGCAGCATTAATTATCCATGGTCTTTCATCTTTGTCTCCCGGTGCTCTGTGGAGTGGACGCTCCAGATGCCTCCCTGAGGCTGACCCCATCACGGAACACTCGGATGGCAAGAGAGCTCTGGAGGCCAGTGTGTCCGTGCTATTCCCAGCTCTGACCCAGAGGAGGCTCCCAGTAGGTATTTGTGGAATGAATGAATGAGTGGAGGCTGATAGTTAGGTTTCTGGTTGGTTGAAAATGTTTCTGAAAGGTGAGTGGTGGGTGCTCAGACTCGCACTGAGAAGCAGCAGGGCCTGCCCTACCTCCCTCAGATCGCAGCTAACGCCAGGCTGCTGCTGCTTACCGTGCCCTCGAGAGCTGGTCTCTAAAAACTTCAGCTCTTTGGGGGCACCACCTGTTGATAGCGGCCCTGAGGACAGGACTTGGCTTTCTCACGTCCCCCTCCCTGCCACTGTCTGCCATGGCCATCCTGAGTGATCTAGGAACCGTATTGGGCCGCGGAGCATTTACTGTGGGGCAAGCCGCACAACTGTCCCTGCCTAGCCCTCATTTTTTGGGAAGACGACATCCGCCTCATTCACTTGCCTCGTTTTCTATTTCTGGATATTGTTTCTGTCCCCCCATCATTGGTTCCATCTCCCAGATGCTCCTGTGAGCCAGCTTCCTTTCTCCCTGGAGATTCCCTCTCTGGTGTCCCCCGGCCTCCTGTTCCCATGTGGACAGTGGGCTCAGTACCCTACAGGGACCCCGGGTGGGTGTGGGCCCTTCCCTCTGCTCCTCTCCCCTCTGCCTTTACTCTTGTTGATGGAGTCACTCTCTAGAGGCTCCCTCTGAGCATCTGCCTCTGGCTGTTCCCTGGCTACTGACGGCCTTTCTGGAAGCATTTGTGAAGATGGGGGCGCCTCAGCTTCCAGATGCAGACTTTCCTGAATTCCCCAGTGTTCAGCCCTAAGGCCTGGCCGCCTGAGTTCCAGAGCGCCTGTGTCCACTTGCTCCGGAGAGCAAACCTCCGGGCTCCTGCAGGGGTCCCAGAGGCACAGGAGGGGCCTGGAGTGCCTCACCCGCCCTCCCCTCGGCCACCCCACCGGCCTCTGGAAAGTTCTCTCTGCCCTCCCTTGTCTTTTAGAGGCTAATCCTTGGGCAGGAGAAAGTGGATGCTTACCTGTTTCCAGATGTGGTAAAGGCCTGAGAAACCGACGGGGACAGACATGCTCACTCTCCAAATCAGAAGCCCAGCTTAGAAAGCACGTGTGAGCAAGTGCAAGCTTGGACAGCCCAGTTGCATGATCGCAAATGGCCACAGTTCTGCGCTGCCTGTCCCCTGAGAGGTGGGTCTGTCCCCACCTTCAGCCTGGGGTAACCTGTGACCTGTCCTGACCTCTAGGATGCCTGGAAGGGTCTGCGTGGCCCCCGATGAGGCCTCGGATCCTGCCAGCACCCAGCATGTGACCAAGCCTGGGCTGGTCTGCTGACAAGTGACAGGCCCTGCTGAGGCAAAGACGACCTGTCCACTGCCCACCCACAGAATCAATAGCCACACCGTAGTTGCTTCCAGCCAGGTGTGTGGAATGGCTTGTGGGACTGGAGTTTGCGTTGTTATGCAGCTTAGGTGCAGAACGAGTCCTGGGGCTGGAGCTTCTCCATCCAGGTGCCTTGAGACACTGATCCCTCCAAGTGGCCTGGTTGGGTCTGGACCCCCTGGTACCCCCGCCTCAGCCCTCTCTGGACTTGATGGCCTTGGGCTCCTTGGCAGGCAGCCCTGGTGGAGTGGGGCCTAGGGGCCCACCCTGAGGCCCTGCAGCCCTCGAGTCCTCTTCAGAAGCCCAGCTCCATCTTGGCAAAGGGCCGGTGGTGCTGTGGGAGGAGCTAAGACGTCCACTTCAGTTTCATCGAATCTCTGTTAGTCTGCCCAGGCTACCGTAACAAAGTTCCACAAACTGGGGGGCTTAAAACAGGAGAACTTTATTCTCTCCCAGCCCTGGAGACCAGAAGGCCAACATCAACGTGTCCTGGGGTTGGATCCTTTCTGCTTCTTGCAGCTTCTGGTGTCCCTTGGCTTGTGGCTACATCACTCCAGTCTCTACCTGTTGTCACGTGGCTTCTCCTCTGTGTCCTTTCATCTTGTAGGACGCTGGTCATTGGGTTTAGGGTCCACCCGAAACCCAGGATGACCTCATTTTGAGATTTTTTTTTTCCTCCCCAAAGCCCCTGTCTCAGTTGCCATGCTGTGGTAGCAGCTCACGTAGAAGGATCTACAACTAGATGCATACAACTATGTGTGTGTCTAGTATGTATCTAGGTAGTGTGGTTCCGTGATGGGAAGTGAACCCAGGCCAAAGCCGTGAGAGCGCCAAACTTTAACCTCTGGGCCATCGGGGCTGGCACTTGAGATCTTTAATTAATTCCATCAGCAAAGACTTTATTTCCAAATAAGGTCGTGGTCTGAGGTTCTGCTCTATGTGAATTTGGGGGGACACTTCAAATCAGTGCAGCACCCTTTTTCATTTTGATGATGTGTACACATTAGAAGCTGCCCAGGCATCTTCGTCTCTGCCACGTGACAGCCCACGTGGCTGATCCCTGTGCATCGTGGATCCTTCCTGCGTGCCCTCTGGGCCGCCCTCCCTGGGAGCAGAGCCCCTGGGCCTCACACAGCCTGGCCTGCTCGCCTGCTGCCCTCCCTCTCCCCCTGCCTCTACCTCTGCTCCAGCTGTTTCTTGGCCACAGTAAGGATACTCTCGGACTCCGAGCTTTTGTGCTGCTGCTCCCTGTGACCCAAATGCCCCTCACCAGGTACCTCATGAGACGCCCTCCAGTTGGGGGGCGCGTCTCTGACCACCCGGTCAAAGACAGTCCCATCCACGCGGGGCCCACCCTCGGCCTTGCCAGCCCCGTCTCACAGCTCATGTGGCCTCCTGGTGTGCATCGACTCCTGCTCCCACGTGGCCCCTCATTGGTCTGGGCTGTGTCCCAAGGCCAGGACGGCACCAGCACATGAGGCATAAGGACATATATCCTGGGTAGATGGTAGTTCAGATAAATACATATACATATGTTGGAATACATGCCAAAATATTTACTAATGGGGCACAACCAAACCCCGCTGAATGGAGAGCTCTGCTCAGCAGCAAAAAGGGGCAGACTGCTGAGAGCACCGCCGCAGGTCAGCACCGGGCCTCCATGCAGGTGGTGGTGTAGAGACGGGTGGGGTGGAGAAGAGAGCGGCGCTGGTCAGGGCTGGGCGGTGGGGAGGTGGCTGTGGCTCTGAAGGGCGGCCTGAGGGGTCATTGTGATGGAACTATGTGTCCTGACTGTCGCCACGTGAAGCTACATGTGATAAAATCTCACAGAACTTGGTGTTTAATAAGTAGTGAATTTCAGTTTGGGAAGATGAAGTTCTGGAGATGGATGGTGGTGATGGGTGCAAAACAGTGTGAATGTGCTTAATGCCACTGAGCTGTGCACTTAAAAATGATTAAAAGCTAAATTTTATGTACATTTGACCACACTAAAAAAAATTAATAGAACTAAACACACACACACTCAAATGCGCGTACACATGCATGTCCACACACATGAGTGCAGCTGAGGTGGGAAGCCTGAGGTCCATGGCCTGCACAGAGGTCAACGTCTGGCGTGATCCTGCACGACAGTTCTGCAACTGTGCCCACTGGGGACACTGGTGATGGGCACGTGGGCTCTGTTATTTCCTACAACTGCATGTGAACCCACAGCAGTCTCAGAAGGAAAAGGGAAGCGAAGACACTGGTGAGGCCGCTGTTCTCTGACAAGCCCCGTGGAGACCCAGGGAACAGGCTGGCATCGTCCCCTCCACGTCCCCAGAGCTGTGCCTGGCACTCTTGATTACCGTTTATTGAAAGAATGCACACATGAGGTTAGATGAACACATAAACAAGTCCGTGTGCGGCCCACACACCCCTCGGCGTTAGGCCTCTGCAGAGAATGTCCTTCCCAGAAGCCAGGGTGTCCCGTCCGTGGGCCCCACGAGGGTCAACGAGTCCACGCTGAGTGGCCTGGGAGTGGGCCAGAACTGTCTGCCATTAATGTTCATGTTCGCATTCTCGTTGTCCGGCTGCCTCTGATGGTCTCACCCAAGGCCTCCTCCGAAACAGGCCGCACTGGTGTTCGAGAAAGGCTCAACTGGGCAGAGGGGACCTCGGGCCGCCTGGCTCAGCGTAGACTGAGGGCAACACAGGCTGGGGGGAGTCTGGGTGACCTCACTACCATGCACGCCTGGAGACCCCACGGTCCACAGGCTCCCAAACTTGTGGGTGCCAGGGATGGGGGCGTCTGGGTGGTCTCTTTCTGTCTTGCAATCATTTAGTTCCTTACAGAAAGAATCTTCCTTTACAAAAAGTCCATGGGCACCGGGCGGGTCGATATTTTCCACAGTGCCAGGAAACACTGATTTCTGCAATGGCCCTGGTTCAGGCAGGTCGCCCAACCCAGGCCACTATACCTTCCATTCAGCACTGGGGTACTGGCAGCAGTGCCCACGGTGCGGGGGGGTGGGGGCTGTGTCCTCGCTCCTGGTTTCCCTCATCTGTACAGTGGGCCAGGCCACAGGCAGCTGCCCCTGCAGCCCCCCACCCACCTGCCCAGTCCTAGTCATTCTGGTCCTTTCCAAAGAGATAGGTGGCTCCC